CGACCACCTTCCGATTTAGGCCTGAAGAAAAGACTGAATCTTAGAAATTAAATACAATGAAACTTCAAACCTTCCCAAACTTTCAAACCCAAGTTATATTTTTATCTTTTACTACAGTTTTAGATGTTCATACAACATAGATTCCTGTCATCTCAGAAAGAATGGCAAAATTATTCTTTCACTGCCACCAATTTTAATCTAAATATCTTACCTCACAACACAACTCACAAGCTTCTGAAAGTGAAAATTAAGAAAACATTATTAACACAAGTAGCAGTACGATAGATTTTCATGCAGAAAAGACTACAAACTCATTAAAAACTCGATAAAGTTGGGCACTGATATTTGTCCTCTCTGTTTCCAATAATTTCTATGATATGTTTACGTCCACAAGCAAAAGTGACAATGTTCAGTATCATGGTTGGTCTCAACTTGGTAGAACAAAAAACATTTATTATTACAGCTGTTTGATGTGTTGAATTCAGGATGTCCGTCTTCAAATCACCAAATAGAAGCCCATCCTTACAACAATTTGCTGCAGCTTTTGCACAAGAATACGTTGCATGTGATTCTGAATTACTGGCTACATCCATTTAAAAACAAATGATGGGACCTAATAATATTTTTTCCACAAAAAAGGACAAGGACAGCAACATACAGAAAAGAATCTACCAAATACAATCTTGACTTCTAAAATGAGGGAAAAAAGGCATTTTTTCCAACTCTAATCTCCTAACATTCATAAGACTGCTCAAATAACATAAAACTAAGAAATCCACTAGTAGAAAAAAACATAGGTGAGATGATTACCTATATACAATGATCACCGGCAAAACTTTATTTTTGAGTATGATTTGAATATCCTGGTGAGGCTGGAAATTCTTGATATGCTCCAATCTAATCTCAACAACTTGTGCACCTTCAGCCTTTGCCTGGTGCATGTCTTTAACCATTTGCTCCACTGATTGAGCCATTAATGGAGCACATCTCATGGTTGAATTGCTCAGCATCCCAGTACTACCCATTTCAGCAAAAGATCAAAAAAGCCAGCTGAGCTAAACTTTGAGAAACCCAAAAAAGGAGAAATTAAAATAAATCAGAATATATAAATAAGTTTGGTCTATCTGTAGCGTATTAAACAGAAGAACTTTGCCAAAAGGAGGGTTGGTTGATGTAACAAGTCAAAAGTCTTTGACTGGATTGCAAGAATTCTATTTTGACATAACGTAGAAAAGACAAGCCAATAATTGTTACAATCAATAAATGATGATAACATATAATGGATTTTTTAATACATATATATATTTATGAAAAAGCAAGGCCAAAGACAGAATGATTCTGTAGCATTTTAAAAATATTGGTTATATGAATTAATTAAATTAAAATTTGAATTTAATATTGAAGTTTCTCTTTAGCTTTTTGTTTTTGACTTCGTTTTTGCTTTGGTTGGTGTGGCATGTGCCATGTGGTAGGTGAAAAAAATGACAAATAACTTTATTTGTATTTTTCCTTTTTGGTATTTGCCTCCCACACGAAATCAACATTGAATCCACCTCATGTTTTTATCCATTTAAGGAAAAAAAAATCTACAAATCTAAACAATTTTTTTTTTCATTTTTTGCCAATCACAAATCTAAAAAGTTAGATTTAGTGAAAAATAATAATATTTAAGTCAAACAGTAAATTTTATTATAATGCAGGACTGGGGACGTAAACCAGTACCAGGACCAGGAGCCAGGACTGGAGACAGGCTAAAGAGTAGACATATTCAAGTGGGCTGCGTTTGATGTAAGACTGGGCTAGCGCCAAGTTTTTCTTGATCTTGGCATCTGCCCATGTCTTTGGTTAGCAACAATGAGGGAAATTTTCGAATTACAAATAAACTGTTTCAACTTTCAAAATGCAAATTACTTTCTTAGATTATATTATAATTATTGCAAGCAGTTACTTTTGATGTTCCACTTGAAACCCTCAGTCCTGGAACCGACTCTAGTGCTACTGAGCTAACAGCTCATTTTACAAGCAGTAAAAAATTATTGTCCAGGTTCCATGATCTCTCTTAGAAATCAAATACCAAAGCAAAAGCTTCTACAGAAGGCAAATAGCAAACTCACAGGGCTAAATTTCGTTAAGTTGCTCATTTCAATCAGAGTCTGAGCTCCTGTTATCAGCAATGGTAGCCATATCTGCCTGCTTTTTACCACTTAATAGGTTTGTGTTAGCAGAGAAATTGGTGGAGTCCCATAAAAGTGTGGCACAGCTTGATCTGCAAAGAAGCTTTCCAGTAGTTGCAAAGGTGACAGTTTAACTGTGGAACCAGCACTAGAAGAAGTGCTTGAGACGGCTTCTACTGAAACATTTATGGAGGTTAACTTAGTTCACACTCGTGCCGTGGTTTTGAATTGGCAGAAGGGACTTTTCCAGTTTTTTTCTGGCATGTTTCCTGCTTTTGCTTCCTAGCAGCATTGTTTCGATCTGCCTTCTGCCTTTCCAGTTGTCAAATGTAGTCTCTGGGATCGTTTGGTGGGTATGGTGATTCAAGCTTGTGATCAGCAACGCATCCGCTGACTTTCCTCACGATAGCTATTTCATGATCTATAATTTGATGTTGCGAGCACATTCAAGTTAACACACAGAATCAGGATTACAGTTCAATTTTCAGCAAAATTTTGAGCATGCATAATGATAGAATGTCTATGGAAAAGTTACCCATTTCCAATGCGATTTTTTGGCCTTGTGATACTAACTCTCTTTGGAATATTCCAAGTGAACTTTCAGCATGTGTGCAGGGGGAACTTGCCAACAAGATCAAACGCACATATGAATGCAATAGCCTCAAGCCGTAGATTGTTTTTTACAAGGGTTCCAATCAAGACTGTCAAATTGAAAGCAGATTTTGCAGGTGTCATCAGAATACCGTCAGGCAAAAAAAAAAAAAACTCATGTGAAAACACCACCTGAACTTAATATGTTACCATTATAATCCATAAATGTCATATTTTTGCTGAGAAATTTAAAGAACGAGATGATTGGCAAAGAAACAACAAGATAAGTAGTTAGCAGAATTCAGAAACTTACTACAAATAAGAACTGTTGCGGAAAAAAAAAAGAAAATAATTTACCCATAAGGACCCCCTTTGATTCCTTTCATGTACCATTCGAGTACATGATGCAACAAAACACTGTTGTAGAATCTAGGGTTCCATAAGCAAAAGTTGTACCTCAAGAAATCACTCAAATATTATTTTGGGGAATTCCTGCATTACATTATACCTGGTCGCTAACAGCTAGAGAAGATGTAACTATAGTAGCATTAATATAGCTATGCAGAGAAGACAAGGATAACCTCACCCAACAGCTAAACGAACCAACAAAAAGAGAAACGATAAACTAGGGAGACAGATAGAAAGTAGACTAACCGCAGATCTTATCTGTCAAACCAAGAGCCAGGCACAAATCAGGAGACTGTCTATACTCACTTGCAATTACCAAAACACCAAGAAGCTCATCCGCATCATAAGCAGAAATCAAAAAGTAGGTGACTATCAGCTGCAAGAAACCATATGCCATCACACCATTCTGGTTCTTTTGCGTTCTTTCTTTCTAATCATCTGCCAACTTCAAAACCTTTTCATTTACATGGGGTTCAATCTGGAGCGGAAATGTCCTTAACTGCTCCATCAATAGAATGCAACTCTTTCTTACTTCTCCTGAGGCTCCCCTAATAAATTCATCCCCTGAGTTCTTTTTCTTTTTAGGAGCATGCCCTGACTTTGAATGATAAAAGGTCGATAATGCATCCAAAGCAAGGTTTTGCAGGATCGGGAGACAATTGAAGAGCGTCAGAAATTTCACTGCGCATTAAATCGTGATCCTCCACATGCTCACATAAAAAAAGTATTAAACCCCTCGCATCCATACCGGTGCTATAAGATTGTAGGTCAATCCTTGCCTCTGAAGGAACAACGCCATCCAATTGAAAATTTTCTAATTGACATCGGTCAATCTTTACTTGAGCATGATGAATACTACTTTCTGTACGGTTAGAGAATCAACTTATGAACATAAATTTAACAAGTGAATTTTTAGTGTCAAACGAACAGAAAACCAACAAAGATATACTTGCCAAACTCTAAGCACGCACGGTACCATTCATGCTGCAAATTATTGTAATTACAAACAAATACATTCAACAATAACAAAAAGTTATCAAATTAGAATTTGAGTATAATTGAAGTTTTATTATATATTTAATATTTGTAAAATTAATAATTTATTAAAATTGTTTTCATATATAAAAAATCAAAGTAAAAAAAACAAAAATAAAATTTAAATTATAGATGTAATAAGGATATTATAATTATGAAAGTATATATGTAAAGACAAAATAAAAAGTAAAAAGTAAACAATAAAGATAATATTGTTCATGAGCATCACGGTGAGCGACTGCGCATGTTATGCTCCAGTTCTGATTACGGGAAATGGTGCGATTAAAATGCTCCATCGTGCTATTGGCAAGTTTACCGAACATGTTTCTGAAATGAAGCCTTAGTTGGTCCTTCAGTTTGTCATCATAACCCTTTGCTTTAATAGTCTCGGCTTTTCATACTCTTTCGCAGAAACCACGCAATTCTTTGAATTTCTGTTCTCTCAATTACCATTCCTTAAACTCTTCCGACTGCTGAATCCTCAAGCTTTATTCACCAAGAAAAGGAAATAGAATTCTTCAATATTTTCCCGTAGGTTCTCTTCTCTTTTGGCATCGTACTCAAAGTGAGGAGAGGTAGAAGCTCTAGCTGACCAATCTTTTGATATCTAAGAGAAGAACAAAGTTATGTTTGTTTAAACCCATTTCCACTGTTTTCATCTCTGATTATTTGATTTCTAAAACTTTTTTTGGGTTTTGAATATTGCTGTTTTTATTGTTTTGGGTTTTGTCAGTGAGCGTTCTTCCCTCTTGTGTTATTGTTTGTTCTGCTTCATATCATCAATTTCCTACCAATTCCAAACAAAAAAGAAAAAAAGAAAAAAATTATATATGGAGGCTTGTATTTCATTGTTGGATCCATTCTTAGATCTCTTGCTGGGAAAGCGGCGGAGTACACAGTTGATCCCATTGCACGACAACTTAGTTACTTGTACAAGCACAAGAGCAAGTTACAAAACCTCAGGGATCAACTTCAAAAACTGAAGGATGCGAAAGAAAGAGTGCAAGAGAATGGTAATGCGGCTAAGAGACAGGGAGAGGAGATATTTAGCTACGTGGATGAGTGGTTGTCTAAGGTCAATGGGAAGATGTGTGACGTGGATGAGTGGTTGACTAAGGTCAATGGGAATATCTGTAACGAGGCTGCTGCGCAATTGGATGAGGATGAAGAGAAAGTAAAGCAGGGGTGTTTCGTTGGGTTGTGTCCTAATTTTAAGTATTGTTATCAACTCTGTAGAAAAGCTGAGAGAGAGTTCAACACCATTGCTGAACTCTTGAAAGATAACGACCGATTTGATGGAGTATCCCACCGACCTGCTCCAGAAGGGATAGCTATTAGACCTGCCAAAGAGTACGAGGCCTTTGAGTCAAGAAAGGGTGCTTTGGATGCGGTCATGGAGGCGCTTAAAGATGCTAATTTGAGCATAATTGGTGTTTACGGGACGTGCGGTGTGGGTAAAACTACCCTAGTCAAACAAGTTGCTAGTCAAGCCAAGGATGAAAATTTGTTTGATGAGGTGGTCATGGCAGCCGTAACCCGGAGTTTTGACATCAAGAAAATTCAAGATCTGACTGTAGATCAATTGAGTGTGGAGTTTACAAAGCAGAGTGACCCCGGAAGAGCAGGCGAACTACGGAACAGACTAAAGAATTTCAAGAAGGTTCTTGTCATTTTGGATGATATTTGGGAGAAATTGGATTGGAGGCTCTAGGAATTCCTTACGGAGGTGAACACCAAGGATGCAAGATCTTACTGATGTCTAGAGAGCTCAATATTTTATCTTTGATGCTTTCGCTGAAAAACATTCGAATTGAAATATTGGAAGAAGAAGAAGAAGCATGGAACCTGTATAAGAAGAAGGCTGGTGATATTGTTCTAAGCCACTGACTTGCATATTACGGCAATTGAAGTGGCCAAATAATGTGCTGGATTGCCGATTGCCATTGTAACAGTGGGGGAAGCTATGAAAAATAAGAAGAATTTGTTTGAATGGAAGACTGCTTTGCAAGAACTAAGAAGGCCCTCTAAAATACATTCCTTTCTCCAATCAAAACCAACAATGATTTTTGGCAGGTAAAGTTAACAGTCATGACTAACATATGTATTAGCGCACAGTGAAGAGAAAATTTTATGTGAAGGAGGATGCCACTATCATCTAGAATTTAGAGAATTGTTCATTATTAACAAAGAAATTTTTTGGTTGGGGGCGTTGATGGTGACTCCATTGTATATCAAAATTAATTCATCTTTTCGCCATCATAACCAATTAATATTAATTGTCGTTGGTGATTATTATGCATATGTAGAATCCCGTGGAGGAAATGCAGAATTCTATAGAAGATCGAGGCAATCCTTCAACTTCGAACACACAAGTATGCCAAATTTCATTCAATGAATCTTCAGATACAATTCATAAATAATATAGCTTTTGTTTCTTTCAACTCAAATGCTTTACCATTTGTTCATCAATTATGTAGGTGTTTGATGCCTCCCACCTAGTTCATATTTCTCTTATCAATATAATATTATGTAATTTTTGAACAATTTTCCCATTTTATTGACATCAGAGTTTCTATTTAATTTACTCTTTTAGGATTTTCTAGAGCAACTGAAATAGATCATTGGATAATGTCACATTTTCTTTTTTTTTTCTATGACAATTGTATTGTATAATTTGATTTTTCTTTTTTTAAACAAGTTTTGTTTTTCAGTAATACTGTTTTTTGTGGTTGGAGAATGTTTAAATTTATAATAAAATAAATAAGGAGAGGGATTACAGTGATGACCTTCAAGTACCATGTATGGCAGAGTAGGAAATTGTTGAATGTGTTTTTGAGACATCATGACTCTTGTTTCTTCATTTGAAATCAGATGGCTTTGTTTTCATTTTATGATACTAATTCATCAAAGAATAATAAAAGTAATTTTTCAGTAATTTTCCTTTTCACCTTCACTAATATTGTTCATTATGATTTCATAATCCAGTCAACATAGTCGAGAATTCTGAAGATCAGCTCAATCCTTCAACCGCAAAGAAACAGAGTAAGCCAAAAATTCTTTCTATGCATCTTGAGACCATATAGCTTTTGTTGTACTCATCTAATGCAAAAGGTTTTTCTTTCCTTGAGTAATGGGTGGCAGAAGGTTTTTTTGTTCTTCCTGAACGTTGCATATGTTAATTTGTTTTGATTGTTAATTGTCATATTACTAAACGGTAGTGCTGCCATACTGTTCTATCTCTAAAGACAAGTTTAATCGTGTTGCATTTGATCAACCTGTAAATGGTCACAGCTTGTGTCTTTTAGGCTTTTTTGTTTCTATGATAACTAATTTTAGCTTGCCATGTATTATTTGATCAACCTCAGAAGTGATAACTTATGTACGACTTTTCTATTTTTAATGATCTGGGTATTGTGAAGTTAAGGATGACAACAATTCTGAAGTCAGAGGATGAGAAATATTCTGAAGTGGCAAAATGACAAGGGTTCTGGAGTTGGGGATCACATACTTATTTTGAACTAGACGATAAGGAGACTTTTTCAATGGTGAATTTCAAGGATTTGCCACTCTCCCTTTTTGAGAAGGTGCAAACTATTTCATGTTGAAACTTGAAACAAAACTTATTTCAGATTTATTTTGCCGGTTTAAATTGATGGTTATTTTTTGGGCTGGCTGATGGTTTGTGTTTGTTTACAGGTGATTTTCTGCTGCATTGAACCAATGGCAAATTCTTGAGTCCATTGGATGCCCCAAGGTGTGCCGTGCCTACAACAGCTTGTGAATGGGCAGTTTATCCATCCTGACTGTAACATGTTCCATTCTACTTGACCGTCGTGCTGAGTTCCGTACGTCCTTGTGGAATTTTTTGTAGCCCTATTATGTTTTATTAGTGGCAGAGTTCGGAGGCATGATTTGATGCATCATGGTGCACAAGGTTAGTAGTTTTCTTTGGCCTTGGGCAATTTAAGTGCTTATATGTTAATTATCTCCTGATTCCTCCCCCCCCCCCCCCCCCCCCCCCCCCCCCCGCCTTGATCTGTGATTGACCTTTTTTATCAATGTGAATTGTGAATAAAGCATTCAACTGTCAAGGAGGTGGATGGTACGGGGAAATTGGGCAGAGCGAATGCTCCTCCCCGATTTCTGATATGGTGAGGGCTAACGCCACCTAATCCTACTGATTGAATGGAAGAATGGGAAAGAATCCAATCGGCACTGAATGTTTACAAAGTATTTGTCTCACGTCAAGTGAAGAAGCTGGTTCTTTTCAAACTTAGCAGAAGCTTACTAGTTTCATTTTTCGTTAATTGAAAACATATACAAGTCAAACACTTGCAGGAAGGCCCAATGGTTGAGAACTCGTAGAAATGGAGCAGTTTTTTCTCATTTTCATTTTGGACATTTTCTGTTAGCATTGACATAAACAGAACAACCTGCAGCAAGGATCTTGGTCCTTTGAAAACACTATAGACCAAGAGTTGCCAACTATAAGGAACAGAAGATCATTGTTCAAGTACAATGGTTTTTATTTACAACAGACATCAGTTTTAAAGTTGGATTTTTCAGTTATTTTCTTGAAAGAGTCTTAGGCTTCAAATCTTATAAGAGGTGTCTTATTTTCGTTTTAAACACTGATAAGCAACTATGGGAATTTAAGTTAATGAAGTTAATTTATTCTATTTGCAGCGGGAAATGGCTGCTCAAATTTCTATCATCGATAAAAACCAGTTTTAGTACCAATTTGATGTCGCAATGAACCTGGAATTTACTAGTAGGGAGTTAACATATTCAAATGAAGAAGAAAATTTACTTGTTTATTCGGTTTGTGTTTATTAAAGGATTTAGAAGGAAAGAAACTGTTCATTTGTTTCGTTTCAGTTTACGCAGTGGATAGATCTTAGGCTTGAATCTCAGTACAGATAATACTACCTCATCCATCTGACAAGCCTTGAAAACTAGTAGCCCAACAAAAGACCATAAATGTGGCTAAAATAATGTATTAGAAAAGAGCTAAATATATGCTACTATTGGTGAACCATTTAAGAGAAAAATAGTAACTCAAACCCAATACCAACAAACATATACGCTACTATTTCCATTGTTGTATCCATTCCTGGCTCTGTTGTTGGCAAAGCGGCGGAGTACACAGTTGATCCCACTGCACGACTAGTTAGTTACTTGTTCAAGTAAACGAGCAAGCTTCAAAACCTCAGGGATCAGCGTCAAAAACTGGAGGATTCAAGAGAAAGAGTGCAAGAGGCTGTTCATGCCAAGGAACTTGATTTGTCAAAACGCAGACACTAAAATATAGCGTGTCCCCAAACACCCACAGTAGAATCACGTATTAGAATAATATATTCCATATGGACATGCATTTCTAACAATCAAAATTAAGAACTATATAATGACAATTCCTATTTGTCAATACCAAAGCAAAGCAATACAATACAATTTTAAACATAATATTATAATACGATACCAAAAAAAAAATGATAGTATAAAATTTTAGTAAAAATTATATATAATTTTAATAAAAATCAAAAAAATATTTTGTGTTTAATGCGTTAATGATAATATTTATATTTTTCACCTTTTAAGACATGAATAAATAGACATCGATACGAGACTTTTTGAGTCTAATAAATAGTCAAGAAATTTAGGCAAAAAAAATGACTGAACTGAATTCTGCAGTATATGATTATGGGCATTGAAAGTTGTAAATCTCAGTTTTTAAAGGAGAATTTCACTTATAATTTTTTTACTGCAATATTATAATTAATCCATCATAATTAAAAGTTATACAAAAATCTATCATTTTAAAAAAATGAGTTTTACATAATTTTTTAACGAGTTTTACATAAATATAAATTATAATTAATTAATTATAATTAAATAATTGTAGGTGAAAATTTTCCAATTTAAAAAGAACTTAAGAACTTTTTAACTAAATTTCAGTTAAAATTCACCAATTGAATTCTTTTAAGCGTCATACACAGAGGACATGCCAAAAACATGTTGCAAATAAGATTTACCATGTTTCAATAAATAAAATTATTTATTAATACTTTTGAATATAATTTTACTCATAAATAATATATTATATTAATAAATAATATTATAATATATTAATAAAAATATTATATTAATTATTCAATATTAAGACACTATATTAATAAATAATATATTAATTAATATTATTATAATTATTAATAAATATTATAATTTATTAATAAAATAATATAAAATAATAAATATTTTTATTTTTAAATATTTTTTATATTAACATAATATTTTAATATTAAATATTATTATTAAAATATTAATATTTTTTATATCAAACTTTTCCTCATACTTTTCCCTCTTAAAATCTTAGCTCTCTGATTTTGATTTTTTGTGAGCCGAAGACAGGTGTAGAGACACTAGAGATTTTGATTCCTCTCATGTAAATGCATGTTACCAAGCTCAAGGAAGTACTTCCTTGAGTATTGCCAAACCTACCATGATTTTCATATTTGTTGGAAACTAAACGCTTCTTGCTATTTTCCTGGATGTTATGTTGACTTGCATTTACTTGACTGCCTTTTCTGCTCAAATCTCTTGGTGACCTTCGAGGTTTTAAGCAATTTGTTGTGAAATCATTGTTTTCACATTGAATATTTTTATAATAAAAAAGTATTTTTTTCATCGATTTAAAGAATTTACAAATACTCAAATTCATAATTTTTTTATAAATTTATGATTTTAAAATGATGCAATGAAGAAGTGAAAAATAATTTGCTAAAAAAGTTAAAAACATTAAATGCATGAAGAAATTTTGAATGTAAATGAAACTCTCAACTTCAATTCTAACAAAAATTTGATGTGATTGTAAAACTTTGGATGATGATATATATTTTTATGTCCTGCTGAAATTTTCTTAATTATTAAGCCAGGGAAATTGAGAACCGTATATTTGTCATATGGATGGCGTGATGTCATCATATTGGTGCTTAACCACAAAGACTATGCTATAATTTACTCAATAATAATACTTTCCCGACAGAAACCATGTGCCACGGCCCACATGTGCACGATCGAGACCTAGGGACCGCACAATGTAGACGAGCTAGCTGTGCTGGAGTTGTCGTTTAGTTTGGGTCATCATGTCCCATTTCTCTACTAGTCTCCGCCTTTCATGCTCTCTTGCAGAAAACACGCAATTCTCAGTTTTCATTGTCCGTTCTCTCAACTGTTTCTACTGCTGAATCCTCAAGCTTTATTCACCAAAAAAGAAAAATAATTCCTCAAAATTTTCCTGTAGGTTTTCGGCTCTTTTGATATTAGTACTCAAAGTAAGGATTGGAAGAAGCTGTAGCAGATCCATCTTTTGATATCTAAGACAAGGACAGGGGTATGTTTGTTTAAACCCATTTCCACTGCTTTCATCTCTGATTATTTGATTTATATTATTGTTATTTTTTTGGTTTTGAATATTGCTGCTTTTGTTGTTTTGGGTTTTGTCAGTGAGCCTTCTTCCCTGTTGTTTTATTGTTTTTTTTTTGCTTCATTTCATCAATTTCCTACCAATTAAAAAAAAAAGGAAATCACATAATTTATTTTAAATTTCATGATTAAAATTAATAATATAATTACAACATAAACGTAACGTATATATACGCAAATCAATAGTTTGTTTTGCATATTTTATTTTAAATCACATGATAATTGATAATATATAATATAAGAGATTATATAATTTATTCTAAATAAAATATTAATATGTAAATATATCATAATAATTCAAAATATATAATTTATTTTAAATCATATTATAAATTATAAAAAGTTTTCAAGTAAACATAACATGTATAATTTATACTAGTTTCATATTAAAAATATATATTAATTTGATATTTTTAATAACTTTATTGAGTTATCATCATTTATGTTATATTTATTATTTTATTAAATTAATGTTTTTAATTAAAATTATCCTTTTCTCAATTATTTGGGGTTAGTTTTTCGGGTCTTTTCAATTTTAAATTATTTCAATTTTGGTTAATTTTGGATTCATGTTAATCTAGATTTGAGTTAATTTGAGTTCGAATTATTTTTAATTTGGAGCTAAATCAAGTGGAGTTGGTGAGGTTTTTGGTTTGGATTAAAAAAATATTTAAATTAATTTTATTTAAAGAAATTAAATTTAATTAGGTAATTTAAAAAATTTCTGGGTTTATTTACAATAAAATAAAAAATCATGAACTTATTAACATGTAATAAAAGAAGATTAAGGGTATATATTTATTTTGTATAAAAATATTAAATCAAAAGGAAAAAAAACGTAAAAAAGGCATGTTGGTTTAGTTATATTACTTGTTATCCCATTAAAAAAGGGGTATTTTTGGCATAACATAAATTGCATGTGATGCATCTCTCCGTTTTAACTCCAATTCTAACATAACCTCGCCGTGGGATCCATTTGTCATTTGTAGGTGTTAAAACTTTGGGGATGATGTAAATTTATCATACTAATGAAGTGACGTTGTATTAGTGCTAAATGTCAAGGACTTTAGTGTAATTTACTAAAAACATTCTTTTCCGACAAAAACCATGTCCCACAGGCTGCATACGCACAATTGAAGACCCAGGGGCGGGCATTGGAGGCCAGCAGGTTGTTCTTTTCATGTAATAGTCTCGGCTGTTCATGCTCTCACACAATTATTGGTTTTGATTAAAGGTGGAGGCGACAGATCCTTTTCATAATTTAAAAATCAATAAAAGACAAATTTTATATTAAAATAATAATTAGTTTTTATTTAAAACAGTTTAAAATAAAAGAAAAAACCGTTTTTGGAAATAGTAACAATGGTGAAAAAGCCCACTAAACCTCCTTTCTTCTGGTGGGATTTTTGAGTTGTGGTGAGATTTATTTTGTACAATCATATACTATTTTTTGTTTTTTATATGCTTTGTTCAGTGCGATTAGAAAAAAAAATTGTATTTTAAATACTCTTTTGCAGAAAATACGCAATTCTGAGTTTTGATTCTCGGTTCTCTCAGCTACCAGCCCTTAAACTCTTTAAACTGTTGAATCCTCGAGCTTTATTCACCAAAAAAGAAAAAAGAATTCCTTAAAATTTTTTTGTAGGTTCTCTTCTCTTTTGGCTTCACTACTCAACGTGAGGATAGGAAGAAGCTGTAGCCGACCAATCTTTTGATATCTAAGACAACGACAGAGGTATGTTTGTTTAAACCCATTTCCGCTGTTTTCATCTCTGATTATTTGATTTGTATTTTTTTTTATTTTGGATTTTGAATATTACTGTTCTTATTGTTTTAGGTTTTGTTAGTGAGCGTTCTTCCAATTCAAAAGAAAAAAGAAAAAAAAATATATGGAGGCTTGTATTTCGATTGTTGGATCCATTCTTGGCTCTCTTGCTAGGAAAGCGGCGGAGTACACAGTTGATCCCATTGCACGACAAGTTAGTTACTTGTTCAAGCATAAGAGCAAGTTTCAAAACCTCAGGATCAACTTCAAAAACTAAATGATGCAAGACAAAGAGTAAAAGAGGGCTGTTAATGCGGCTAACAGACAGGAGAGGAGATATTTGACGATGTGAATTCGTGGTTGACTAAGGTCAATGGGATCTGTGACGAGGCTGCTGCGCAATTGGATGGGATGAAAGGAAAGCAAAAGCAGAGGTGTTTCGTTGGGTTGTGTCCTAATTTTTAAGTCTCGTTACCAACTCAGTAGAAAAGCTGAGAAAGAGGCCACACCATTGCTGAACTCCTGAAAGATAAAGACCGATTGGATGGAGTTTCCTACAAACCTGCTTCAGAAGGGACAGCTACCAGAGCTGTCAAAGAGTACGAGGCCTTTGAGTCAAGAAAGGGAGTTTTAGATGCCGTCATGACGGCGCTTAAGGATGCGAATTTGAGCATAATTGGTGTTTACGGAATGGGCGGGTTGGGTAAAACTACCCTAGTCAAACAAGTTGCTAGACAAGCCAAGGATGAAAATTTGTTTGATGAGGTGGTCCTGACAGCCGTAACCCAGAGTTATGACATCAAGGAAATTCAAGATCGGATTGCAGATGAATTGGGTCTGACGTTTGAAAAGCAGAGTGACACCGGGAGAGCAGGCAAACTACGTGACAGACTAAAGAGAATCAGGAAGGTTCTTGTCATCTTGGATGATATTTGGGAGAAATTGGATATGGAGTCTCTAGGAATTCCTTACGAAGGTGAACACCAAGGATGTAAGATCTTACTGACGTCTAGAGAGCACGATGCTTTATCTTTGATGGGTTCGCTGAGTAACATTTCATTTCAAATATTGAAAGAAGAAGAAGCATGGAATCTGTTTAAGAAGAAGGCTGGTGATATTGTCCAAAGCCCCGACTTGCATGCTACGGCAATTGAAGTAGCCAAAGAATGTGCTGGATTGCCGATCGCCATTGTAACAGTTGGGGAAGCTATGAAAAATAAGAAGAATTTGTCTGATTGGAAGTATGCTTTGAATGAACTAAGAAATCCCTCTAAAAGAAACTTCAAGGGGATACCAGCAGGTGCATATTCAGCTATAGAGTTGAGTTACAAATTTTTAGAAGATGAGGAACATCAACCAACTTTCCTACTCTGTAGCATAATGGGTCATGATGCTGCCATCGAGGACTTGCTGAAATTTGGCATTGGTCTGGGTTTATTTCATGGAGTTAACACAATTGAAGAAACACGATATAAAGTATCTGCATTGGTTAGCAACCTCAAAAGATCTTCTTTGTTACTTGATGGTTCTACCTTTGAGCGCTTTGATATGCATGATGTTGTTCGTGATGTTGCCATATCGATCGCATCAAGGGACCACCATTGGCTTGCCAGGGATGATGAATTCAAAGAGTTGTCAAATGAGGAAACAATGAGAAATTGCGAACTGATCTGCTTGCAGTATGCTAAGGTTTGTGAGCTTCCTGATCATGATCAGTTGGATTGTCCAAAGCTTACCTTTTTCTCTTTGGATAGTGAGGATTCTTCTTTGAAAATTTCAGACAACTTCTTCAGGGGAATGCAAAAACTCAGAGTCTTAGATTTTGCCAAAATGTATTTTCCATCCTTGCCTTTGTCATTTTGTTTCCTAAAAAATCTTCGTACTTTATGTTTTTCAGCAAGCATGTTAAAAGATATAGTCGTCATTGGAGAGTTGAAGAATTTAGAAATCCTTAGCCTCCGTAAATCGGAAATTGCTGTGCTACCGGGGGAAATAGGACAATTGATCAAGCTAAAATTGCTAGATTTGAGTCATTGTTCCAGTCTTGAAGTAATATCACCAAATGTCTTGTCTCGTTTATCCAAATTAGAAGAATTATGCCTACTTGATAGCTTTGATAGATGGGAGGTTGAGGGACATGAGAAGCCAAGAACCAATGCTAGCCTTGCTGAGTTGCAACATTTGCCTCATTTGACAACTTTGGAAGTCGACATTCCTATTGTGCAAGCTATGCCAAAAGAATTGTTTTCTGAAAAGTTGGAAAGATACAGAATTTCCATTGGAGAGAAGTGGAGGCGGAATTATAAGCCAAAAACCTCGAGAGAGTTGAATCTCAAGTTGAATAAAAGTATTCATTTGGACGATAGTGGGGTTAAAACGTTGTTGAGAAAAACCGCAACTCTACATCTGGATGCAGTGAAAGATGCCATGGACATGCTTTGTGATCCAGATACTGAAGGTTTCCCACATTTAAAACATCTTGATGTCCGCAATGATTCAGAGGTTAAATATCTCATTAACTCCATGGAGTTGGCTTCTTGTAAAGCATTTCCTCTTTTGGAGACATTGTTTCTTTATGAACTGAACAATTTGGAGGCCATATATTATGGTCAACTCCAAGCTGAATGTTTTGGTCAATTAAGAAAGATAGAAGTAGCAGATTGTAATATGTTGAAGAATTTGTTCTCATTCGCCTTAGCCAGAAAGCTCGGCCACCTTGAAGAGATTGGTGTATCTAATTGCAAGAATTTCACAGAGTTAATTGTAGAAAAGAGGGAGGAAGAGATTGGTGATGATGACATTTTAGAATTCAGCCAATTACGCTCTTTAAGGTTAGAAAATCTACCAAGTTTCATTGGCTTGTTTAACTCGGAAGAAAAGCTTTCCTCGTCTCAACAAGGAAGAGTTCAATCAATTGATGGAAGTTCAACTGCCACATCGCTTTTTGACCGAAAGGTATTTATGTCAATATATTTCTTCTTTTCGTTAAATTCTCACTTCCAACATATTTCCTTTTGATCTCGTTTTTGTTCCTTTTTCTTAAACTAGATTTTCTATTTAATATGTGAATGTTATAATTAAGATAAAGAGCAAATATATTATTGTAGGTGAGTCTTCAATTTTGTCATTATTACTGTCCTTTCAATTTTAGTGATTTTTAAATCAAAATTAATGAAAATAAAATATATCATAAAATATTCTATTAATATATTTAAAATAAGTATTCAATAAAGCATAAAAAAAGTTTTTTAAACTCAAATCTTATCCAGAAGGATTAAATTATTTTATTAATAAATATTATAGTTTTGTTAAATATTAATTTTGAATATGTTTGCAATATTAAAATATTAATAATAAAATTTTGTTATTTTAATAAAATAATAATTAAATGAGTGAGTTGAGTCAGCCTTGGAAGGGAGACTTGATAGGCCAACACCTCTGAAACTTAAAACTCCAATTCACTTTCATGACATGCGTGTTATATAATGAACTTTAAGAATTGATATTATATATATAGATCGTCAATTGCGCTTTATTTTTGGGGTTAGGAGTCAATAACTCATGCTCAAAATTTAATGACTTAATTGGCTTTATGTAGTTGCAAATTCAAGTAAATATTTAATTTTTGTTTAATAATCTCCTTGAAAATTGTAGTCAATATTAGAAATCATTATTAATTTTTTTTAATATTTGAATAATAAAAAATTGTTGATTATCAAATATTTTTCTTTATTTGCAGGTCGTGTTCCCATGCTTAAAGGAGTTGCAGTTAGATTCAATCATAGTTGAAAAATTATGGCATGATCAACTTTCAGTAACGACTTTTGGTGTTGGAAATTTAACTAAGTTGATGATTAATAGATGTCATAATTTGAAGAATCTATTTACTTCTTCTATGGTTGAAAGCTTCGTGCAACTGAAATCACTTTATATTAGGAGATGTAATGAAATTGAAGAGGTAATAACAGTGACAGGAGGATTACTGGAAGAAGAAAGGATAAGGAAAATGGTATTTCCTAAACTAGACTTCTTGGGGCTCGAGAATCTTCCCAATCTCAAAAGATTTTGCTTTGGAAATCCAAATGAATTCCTTTCTCTAAAGGAACGAAGGATAGCTGAATGTCCAATTTTGAACACATTTCATTCTGATTCTACAAGTGTGGCTATAATTGTTGGAAATGAAGCAGGAAAGAGTAGCATCTCAATGGTGAACCCTTGCACTGATGTACCAAAATATCTATTCGATGAAAAGGTATTTTTTTAATGCTTTTCTCCATTTTTTTAACATAAAATTTTTATTTCATACATTGTTGGTAGAGTTTTTAAATTTAACAAGTGTAGTTAAAATATTATCATATGTTTTTTATTATATTAATTTTTTAAAAATATATCCTAATGAGTTATTTAGCAATCATCTAAATTTGTTGGTGTGGAATTTAAATTTATTATCAGTAGTGTTTTAGATTGTAATTTTCCTATTAACTTAACTTGAAAACAAAGTGATGAAGTATATATGTTAATATATTGCAAGACCAGAATGTATATCTGAAGGTGATTTTTTTCCCATCTTTTATGTTATTTTCTTCAAGTCTTATAATTCTCCTTTTCATATATAGATTTTTTTCTCACAAACATTATAACATTTTATAGTCATCCAAAGAGATATTCTATCATTGTAGACTTAAAATTTTAAAATTGAAAGTCTTAATTATTTGAATTATAGAGGGCATCATCGAAACTGAAAATGTAAAGGGTCAGGCTGCATATGATTTTTTAAGCTTCAGCTTAATTAGGGCTGATTAAATTATTTTATTAAAAATATTATATTTTTGTTAAATTTTGTTTTTATATGTTTAAAATATTAATAATAGAAAAGTTTATTATTTTAATAATAAAATATTAGTTAAATGAGTGAGTTTTTTGTCAATAAAATAAATGAGTGAGTTGTCGACTTCTTATTAGCTTTAAAAACAGAACTTAATAGGTTTAATTGATGAACACCTCTAATAATAAAACTTTAAAACTCTTACTTTTAAAGTCATGACTTGAGTGATATAATGAAATTATTGATATTATATATTATTATAGATCTAAAATTGCACTTTTTTTTGGATTAAGAGTTAATAACTAATACATAAAATTTAATGATTGACTTTATTTATTGCACTTCAAGCCAATATTTGACTTTTTTCTAATTATTTCATGGAAGATTATAATCATTGTACGAAGTTAATTATTTCAACCAAAAGGCTTTCAACAATCCATTTTATAAATATTTTAGATTTTGGAGGAAGATGGGGGTCTATGTGCCACCCTAACCTTCATTTAAAATGTACTTTTTTATTTTTTATTTGGTTTTAATTTTATTAGATAAATTTTATAAGAAAAATAATAGATGTAAAAATTACGAAACAATTTGTATCTAATAGGTTTTAATTCACTTCAATTCAATATAGATACGTTGTTTTAAAAATTTTGAGAACAAATTGAGATTTTTTTTTTAAAATCGAGATTTGTTCAAAGGTTATTTTAAAATGTTTTATCTTGTCTAAGATATATATAAAATTATATTTTTATTATTAATTTAATGTTATATTTATATATTTATTATATTAGTAAAATTATTATTTAATATCTTAATTTAATAAATTTACAACTCTTTTATTTGGCTTTTTTTCTTTTTTTGCCAATAACCCTTTTCAAAAAAAATTTTTAATAAAAAAAATTTCATACAAAAAAAAGATAATTGATGTAGGGATGACAAAACAAATTCAATGGATTTTGATTTCTTCCAATCCAATAGGTATATTATATTTTAAAATTGAAATTAGGTCGAAATTTTTTCTAAATCGGATAAGGGTAGGAAACGGATTTGGGATGTTCCATCTCATCTTCGGTATATATTAAAAATATATGTTTTATTATTTAATTAATTTTATATTTATATATTTATATTAATAAAATTATTAGTTAATATTTTATTTTAATAAGCTATTATATTTATACATAATTAAGATATAATTTATGAACAGTATACTAAGTTAAAATTATCGAATTAATTTTGATTAATTTGGAATGGATGCGAGTTATACATATATGTGATAGGTTAAGATCATTTATCAATTAATGATAACTTAATGTCTAGTCGAAATTGAAGTAGAGTTGAATTATTTTATTATTATATTTATACATAATTAAGATATAATTTATACTAAAAAATAAAATATTTATGAATATTATACTAAGTTAAAATTATTGAATTATTATTTTTTAATTTGGATTGGATGCAAATTATGTATATATGTGATAGGTTGGCATTAGATATCAATTAATGATAACTCAATGTCTGATTGAAATCAAAGTGGAAATAAATTATTAAAAATTTGAGTTAAGAGTCAAGGTGTGTATAAACACAACCTGACTCAACCTCTTTTCTATCATTAAAAGATAGTGGCCATGCATCTTTCATTAATTTGACTATTTTTTTTGCTTGGGCCATTTTTTTAGTTTTAACTTTTTTTTAATTGTCTATTTTAACATTTTTTATCTATGCTTTGGAAGATAAATTAACAGTAGAATTGTTTAGGTAGCAATCCTATTTAGAATTTTTTTTTATCCTTCGATTCTTTCTTTTTTTTTCATATTTTAAATAAAATAAATTTTGTAAGAAATTGGATCAATAGATGTTAAAATAATTTGTATTTAATAGATTTTGATTAACCAATTTAATAGGGATGGTTTTTCTTTTTTGAATTTCGAGGTCACGTTAGAGATAAATTTAAAATGTTTTCCTTTTCTAAGTTTTAGATTTTTTTTTAAGTTTTTAAATTATCTATTTTAATATTTTTAACTATATTTGAAAAACTGAATTTGTATTTGATTTGTTAACAAGTTCTGTAAATAAAGTAAAGATATTATCTCCAAATTAATTAATAAATTATTATAAATCATTGTTTTTATTAAGAAGTTATAAAAAATTATATTCATTGATTTATTAAATTTATTTAACTATAAATAAAAAAAAATTTAGATCTACAAGAAAGTGTGGGTATATTGCTAGTATAATTAAAGATGACGGAGTTGTAAAAATATGGAGTCAATGGCAATAATATATTATTTCTTTCTGTCATATCAATGTTGGAAATCATTATTAATTCTTTTTAATATTTGAATAATAAGGAATTGTTGATCGTCAAACTTTACTTTTATTTGCAGGTTGTGTTCCCAGGCTTAAAGCAATTGTGTCTACGCTCAATCCCAGCGAAAAAACTATGGCATGAGCAACTTTCAGTAACTTCTTTTGGTGTTCAAAATTTAACAAATTTGGAAGTGTACGCATGCTATTATTTGAAGAATATATTTACTTCTGCTATGGTTGAAAGCTTTGTGCAACTGAAAACACTTAATATTGTAGAATGTGATGAACTTGAAGAGATAATAATAGTGACGGAAGGATTAGTAGAAGAAGAAGAAAGGATGAGGAAAATGGTGTTTCCTAAATTAGACCGCTTGAAGCTTAGTGTTCTTCCCAAGCTCAAAAGATTTGGCTTTGGAAATCCAATTGAATTCCCTTCTCTAACATATCTGTACATAGAAGGATGTCCTATTTTGAATACAGTCCATTTTGATTCTACAAGTGTGGGAACAACTGTTGGAAATGAAGCAGAAAACAGCAGCATCTCAATGGAGAACCTCCACTCGGATATCTCAAAATATCTATTCAGTGAAAAGGTATTTTTTTAATGTCTCCCTCCATGGCTCCAATATAAACTTAAAATTTGTTTCAAATAATTAAACTCAATTACAAATTGATAGGTAAAACTATATGTTTAATAGAAATAGCACCTAATTATTAATTACATCATTCGGTTTTAAGAATTTATTTTTGATTTCAATAATCTAATAGAGGGTAAACTACTTATATAACTACTTATATTACTAATTGCTAATGAGATTCCTAGCTCCTAAACCATAAAGAGTGATATTAAATGCATCCTTTTTTTTGCTCTTCTTATGCTTTTTTTTTTCAAATCTTTTTTAAAATAAAATTACTTAATTACTCTTTTTCATAAGTTTCCTAATATTTATATCCAATAAGTTATACAATATTTCAAACATTTATTTTCAAAAATTTATAAAAAAATATAATTAAATAATTTTACTTAAGGAAATTTTAAAAAATAGGGTATAAAGTAAAAAATAAGGGTGTATTTAACACCCCTCAATCCTAAATCTTAAATAATCTTTGGATCAAAATTTTAAAAAATAGATTGACGTGTTTTGAAAAAAAAATAAAATAAAAAAGCATTTAATGGCAACATAATAAATATTAAAAAGAAAAGTATGTAAACTATTAATATATTTGTAAGAATAAAATACAATAATTTGTTTACCAAGATAGAATATATAATTTTATAGTATAACTTTGGATTAATCTATAATTTAATTAGAGAGGTACCTTTAAACTTCAATAATCAGATTTTGTTTTTTTTTTTAAATGTATACTTTACTAGTTTTTCAATAAAGTTATATGCATTAAAAGATTCTTTGAATTCTAAATTTTTGTAAAAGTTAAGTTAGTACCATATAGGCATACATGTTTCAGTAAAAAAAAAAAAAGGTTCACTACTTATATTAAAGATATACTTTTTTAAATTTCTCTTTTTATTCCACCATATTACAATCGTTCATTTTGATCCCTTTCAACAACTCATCCTCCGTCCCATTAACACTTGCATGAATTGTGCAGTTGGCATTCCCAAATCTACAGCAACTTCACCTCGGATGGGATGATGGGATGAAAGAGAGATTGCATGGCCTACGACTTGCATCGGACTACTTTTGCAAACTAAAAGTTCTCGGACTTGTAGGGTTTCCTCAACAATTAGCCATATTCCCATCTTTCCTGTTCCAATTACTATCCTTACCCAATCTCGAAAGCCTTCGAATAGAAGATTGTTACTTTGAAGAGTTGGTATTCCAAAGTGAAGGAGTTGGTGGTGAGGAAGGATTCCAAAATCTAAGGATTTTACTTGTGGGAGAGTGTCCCAAATTAAAAAGTAATTTAGTTCCATCCTCAGTATGTTTCCAGAATCTGATGACTCTTACAGTATATGGATGTGATGGGATCATAAAATTAGTTACACATTCAACAGCCAAAAGCCTAGTGCAGCTCAGAGAAATGAGGATACGGTGTTGTAAAAAGATAGAAGAAATAGTAGAAGGTAGCGATGGGGATCGTGATGAAGTGAAGGATGAAATCATTTTCCCCAAACTCAACCTTTTGGAACTGAGTGTGCTATCAAATCTAGAAAGCTTCTGCTCATCAGGGAATCATACCTTTGGATTCCCATCCTTAGCAACCGTACTTGTGCATAAATGCCCAAAGATGAAGATGTTCTCTAAGGGAGGGTTAAACGCTCCCATGTTGCACAAAGTACGAGCATATGAGTGGGAAGATGAAGGGGATTGGATTTGGGAAGGAAGCCTTAATAGCACCATACGAAAACTGTTCACGGAAAGGGTATGTTTTTTCAAATTTCTTTGATTATCATCGAAAAAGAAAATTTGTGGTTGGGAGCGTTGATGACGACTCCATTGTAAATCAAAATTAATTCATCTTTTCGCCTTCATGACCAATTAAAATTAATTGTTGTTGGTGATTATTATATATATGTAGAATCCCATGGAGGAAATGCAGTATTCTATAGAAGATCAAGGCAATCCTTCAATTTCTAACGCACAAGTAAGCCAAATTTCATTCTATAAATCTTCAGATACCATTCATAATAATATAGCTTTTGTTTCTTTCAACTCAAATGCTTTACTTTTCCTCATCAATTAAGTAGGAGTTTGATGCCTCCTTCCTAGTTTATATTTCTCTTATCATTATAATATTATGTAATTTTTAAACAGTTTTTCCTTTTTATTTTCATCAGGATTTATATTTAATTTACTCTTTTTAGGATATTCTAGAGCAACTGAAATAGATCATTGGATTTTCTTTTTAAAATACTTTTGCTTTTCAGTAATAATATTCTTTATGGTTAGAGAATGTTTAAATTTATAATAAAATAAAATAAGAAGAGGGATTATGGTGATGATCTTCAAATGGCAAGCGTGGCAAGGTAGGAAATTGTTGAAAATGTGTATTTGAGACGTATGACTCTTGTTTCTTCATTTGAAATCAGAATGGCTTTGTTATCATTCATTATGATACTGATTCTTCAAAGAGTAACAAAAGTAATTTTCCAGTAATTTTCTTTTCACCTTCACTAATATTTGTTCATTATGATTTCATAATCCAGTCAACATAGTCGAGAATTCTGAAGAAGATCAGCTCAATCCTTCAACTGCCAAGAAACATAGTAAGCCAAAAAGTCTTTCCATGCATCTTGAGACAGTATAGCTTATGTAGTACTTATCTAATGCAAATGATTTTTCTTTCCTTGAATAAGGTAAGTTCTTCATTTGAAGGTGTTTTCTTCGTCTCAAGTGCAGAAGTGCAAGGGTTCTAATTCCTATTTCCTTCACGGCCAGCATTTATGTGCCATGGCAGAGTGAAGTAAACAATGTATGTATTTTGAGACATCATTATTGATACCTCATCGTTTGAAATCAAATGGTTATAGATTTCTTTATTATAATACAAGGGTTCTTTAAAATGAAATAATGGTACTCTTTTTTTTCGTTTCTTTTGATTGTCAATTATCATATTACTAAAGGGCAGTGCTGCCAAGCTATTCTGTCTCTAAAGACAAGTTTAGTCATGCTGCATTTGATCAACCTGTAAATGGTTGCAGCTTCTTTCTTTTAGTCTTTTATGTTTCTATGGTGACTAATTATAGCTTGCCATTTATTTGAACAACCTTGGAAGAAATAACATATGTACTACTTTTCTATTTTTAATGATCTGGGTGTTGAGAAGTTATGGATGACAACAGTTCTGAAGTCAGAGGATAAGGAGAAATATTATGAAGTTCAGGATCACATACTTATTTTGAGATTTCAAGGATTTGCGACTCTCCCTTTTTGGGAAGGTACAAACTATTTCACGTTGAAACTTGAAAGAAAGCTCAATTCATATTTATTCTGGAGGCTCAAATTGATGGTTTTTGTTTGGGCTGGCTGATGGTTTGTGTTTGTTTACAGGTGATTTTCTGCTGCATTGAACCAATGGCAAATTCTTGAGTCCATTGGGTGCCCCAAGGTGTGCTGTGCCTACAACATTTTGTGAATGGGCAATTTATCCATCCTGATATAACCTGTTCCATTCTACTCGACCCTTGTGCTGAGTTCCATGCTACCTTAGTGGCACTGTTCAGAAGCATGATTTGATGGCTCATGGTGAACAAGGTTAGTCGTTTGCTTTGGCCTTGGGCAATTTTTGTGCTTATATATTAATTATCAATTGATTTTTCCACCCAGATCTGTGATTGACATTTTTTATCATCAATGTGAATTGTAAATAGAGCATTCAATGTCAAGGAGGCAGATGGTACAGGAAAATTGGGCATAATGAATACCCCTCCTAGTTTTCTCATACGATGAGGGCTAATGCCAATTAATCCTACTGATTGAATGGAAGAATGGGAAAGAATCCAATCGCCATTGAAGGTTTATAAAGTATTTGCCTCATGTCAAGTGAAGAAGCTGGTCCTTTTCAAACTTTAGCAAAGGCTTACTAGTTTCATTTCATTAATTGAAAACATATACAAGTCAAAACACTTGCAGAAAGCCCAATGACTGACAACTCATTGGGATGGAGCAGTTATTTCTGATTTTCATTTAGGACATTTTCTATCAGCATTGACATAAACAGAACAACCTATAGCAAGGATCTTGGTCCTCTGAATACACTATAAGCCAAGAGTTTCCAAGTATAAGAAACAGAGGGTCGTTGTTCAAGTACAATGATTTTTATCTATAATAAGCATCAATTTTAAAGTTGGATTTTTTAGTTCTTTTCTTGAAAGAGTCTTGGCTTCAAATCTTATAAGAAGTGCCTTATATTCGTTTAAACACTGGTAAGTAACTATGAGAATTTAAGTTAAATTAAGTTAATTTTTTCTATTTGCAATGAAATGGGGAAAAGTAAAACCATTGTTGATTAACTTAAAATAAACATTATTTGATGATTATATTAGAAAATTTTTGCAAATCATCAAGGTAAAGCTAATAGATCAAATAAATTAATTAATAACTTAATTGAGAGATAAGATCCAAAATTTAACTCTTATCTTTAATTTTCTTTTATATTATTGTTTGTATCAAAATTCTAATTAAATTAAACAGCAAATTAAAAATTGAAATAACTTCTAATTTTTATTGTTAGCATAATCTACCACTTTAATCCACAAGGATTAATATAATTAGTAAGGAGAAAATGTTTTTTTTTCTTTGTTAATTAGGAAAAAAACTTTAAGAGTAAAACTCTGAATGTATCCATTCGAATTTTTTTTTTTTTGTAAATCAGAATTTGATATTTATGAAAAATGTTTTAAAAGTAAAACACTGAATACAACTTACTGTATTAGAGAAAATCTCTTGAGAGAAGAAATTAGCATTAAATAAAGCTCGATAATATATCTAATAGTAAATCTTGAAAATATTTTTAGATCATATTATAAAAAACAGTTTAAATTATATGATATTGAATTTAAGTAGCCATAATTACATAACTAACAAATAAGTCAAATATTATAGACAACTTAAGACAATTACTTTTTATTCCTACATAGACATAATATTAGATAATAAATTTACCATGTTTTATCTTTTTTCAAAAACTACATAAGACCAAGAGAAGTTAATGTTTTGGCACATCATCTAAAATTTTTGAAGTAACCAAAATCCAAGTACTTGGAAAATCATCGTGCATCGTATAATTAGTTAAAATTGGTGGTCAACTAAGTTAAATTTTTGTAAATAAGATATTAATTTAAATCCTCTTCCAACCGCACCGACTAATAAATAATAATTGTTCATATTATTATGGCCAAAATAAGAAAAAATCTTTCAGTACGTAAATATTTGTGAATTTATAATTGAGCTCAGTTGGTTGATATTAATAAGTTTGGGTTCAAATTTTAATACTCATAGCTCTTTTAAGTTAGATTTATGCAATCATTTTTTCAGTAAATTTAAGATTCAAATTTTTATACCTTCAATCGTTTTCTTAATCTTTAAACTATGATTTCTTTAAAAAAAAAATTTTTTTGAACCCTTCAAAGAAAACAAAGAAGAGAAATATTTTCATTTTTCATGTAAGTTAATGACCAAAACTTGAAATAAAAAAATAAAAAAAAAACCTTGTCCAAGAATAAGGGCTTCAGCTTGACTACATGAATCCTTTTCCATGGTACTTGATTTATCTACTCCTTAATGTTACAATATTCTGTGTGATGTAATACATCAGAACTCTGCCATAATGATCTTTCGCATTAACTCTTTAGGTGCTGCAAAACAGAATAAAAAAATTGACCTCATTTAAACCATATTAAGAATTTTGAAAATATATGTTGCAACTAAAATTCTTGAGCTGTAGGAGGCAGTAGTTTTGAGGAAGAATAGTTGAGATTATCACCACAAAACTTGTACTTGATCATGAGGATGGTACAGGGTAAAATTAGAAATCAGAATTATTGGAAGAGGTTCAAAATAGGATATCTCCAGCAATTTTAACTCAATGTATATATGTATTTTTTATAAAAATTTAGGATAAGAAGAGGCATTCTCATTTTAGGACCATAGAAGATCACAAGCTTCAGCATCGACTTATATTAATTTACAAATCATCTATCAAGGGAAATGCTAGCAACGGGACTCAAACCTAAGTCTTATAAACAAAGTATTCGAATCTTATCAACTCAATCAAAATAGCTTTTTCAGATCATAAACTTGATCCATTCGTCCAACTAATGAAATAAAGATGGATTCGCTACTCACTGGAAGCTTTATTATTCTTTTTCAATAGTCTCGTGACTAAAATCAAACAGCAAAAGATCAAGATGGTTGAACTATCAACTTACATTTGCAGTAAAGATCTAAGGATGGTTTAAAAGGTCTAAAGTTTCTAATTGATTTAATTAGAAAATAAGTGTCCAGAGTGGTTATGATGTAGTTTAAGGTCATGAAACAGATAGAGGGAAGGAAGGGATTCAAGAGATACCTTCTCGACCAGTGAAGAGATTGAACTGACCAATAGCTTGTCTGAGGAACATTTCAACTCCACTGACAATGATTGCTCCTGCTGCCTCTGCATCTTTTAATAGTCTTGTTTTCTTAGGTGTATAAACAGCATCAAAGACCAGCTCATAATCTCCCAAGGTTGCCTGGAATATGAAAGCAAATAACTTCAGTAATGAAACAAAATTGAACTTTATTCTTCAGAAAAGAAATACCACTAAGTGGTGGAAGGTGGAGACCTCAGCAACAGGAATGCGCTGATCAGTATTCGGATGCATTCCCAGGGGTGTTGCATTTGCAAGGATCGATCCTTTCTCTGGCTGGAAGTTAACTACTTCTTCATAAGGTCGAGCTTCACCCGAGACAGCACAAGCAAGGGACTTTGCTCTCCCTTTTTCCACAAGCAATGATAATAGTAAGAAAGGGTTTTTATTCTCTACTCATAATGTTTATTGCTAATGCTACAACATTGTATTGAAAAAGAGTAGGCAGAAGTTATAGTTGACAATCAAATCAACATAAAGGGAAAAACCATGGATTTTCCTTTTAAGAATTGTAGATCACATACCAAAATCAATGTCAAAAATGACTATTTGAGCTCCTCTGCTTTTAGCACCAAATGCCAATGCTCTTCCTGCACCTCCAGCACCAACTAGCACAAAGAGTTTCCCCGATATCGGACTGCCTAAAGATACTTCATTACCAGTGCATCTCTTTTCTATAGTAGTTTACGATTTACAAGTACAACAGTGCCAGTATATCAGCATCTAGAATGGACTAGTCATTGATCAATACTTTAAACTTCTAAGAGGACATGATGAACATTTTTTTTCTCATCAATGGCAGGTACCTTTCAGAGCATCCTCGATCGCAGTTATTGCAGCTTCGCAGTCAGTATTATAACCTATCAGCTTTCCATCACAAGGCCTCCTTACAATAGTATTAACAGCACCTATAGACTGACAGTGCATGAAAAAAAATTTGATTACATTCTCAAATATATAAATATAGGAAACTACAAGCAGATGCTATTAATAGGGAATTGAAGCACTAAGAATTCTGGTAAGAATTCTGGATATAGGAAAAATTCTAGAATCGCCTCTGTGTGAAACAGGTAAATATATCAATATAGAACATGTCAACATACAATTGTTTGAGTGTAATCCTCTGTTACTTTTGGTTTCCCATCACAAAATGTGCCATGTCTGATGATGCAATGCCAACTAGCTCAGATAGTAAAATATGAATTTTACAACCAGGATCAGATAAATATGCTGCCTAAACTTAAATACAATTTTTTTTCCTTTTTCTTTGGCAATGAACTGATCAAACCAGTCTTATATGCTTGGTATGCTTCTCTCAATAAGTTGAACTTCTAAATAATTAGATTCAGAACTTGGTCTTAGACCTTAGTATAGCCAGAAATCGGTGCTTTGGTAAACTGTGCATAAAGAAATGGAATAGGGCACAAAAACAAGGGACCTGAAAAAATACATGGGAAATTACAGATTCAAACATGTTTGTAAGAATGTTATATAGTCAACCTCGGCAAGTAGATGAACTTCATCACAGAACTCAACTACAGCTTCCTTGTACGGAAACCCAACACTGCAATCCATTGGAATGAGGAAAAAGAGAAGTTACATTTCGGAGAACAGTGGAAAACAAACCTGGCTACATCATTCCAGGAGATGAAAATAAGGGTGAGAAATAAAGCAATTTATCAAAGAAAGAAGGCATTTATATTTCAGTATGTTGCAACTATCCGTAATCTTCCAGTTTCGAAAATCAGTATTACTATATCAACTAAAGAGCTAGTTGTAACATAAAATTTTCCTAAATCCATACTTTCTTAGTACTAAATCTTTCAAGGCCAGTTCTGGGCGTAGTTGTTACTGGCTAAAATGTGTTTGAATGCCTAAAAGGCCAAAACACAAGTGTTGCTCATAAGAACGGATGCAGCTTACAGTGGCTATATACTTAAGTGAAAAGACTGTAACCTGACATAATCTACCAAAGAAAAAATTGAAGGATGACGTACCTAAAACCAGGAAAGTCGTGACTGGAATAGATGTTAAAGAACTCCCTGAGGTTATCTACAAACATTGGGACATAAACACCATTGAAGTTCTCATGTCTGAATATAGGATTATGCAATAGAGGGCCTTTGCTGTGACGGACAGGTTTTGAAACAAGTCCAAAAACTTTAGTTTCTGAATTTAGATAGCCAAGTTTGTAAGTGTGGATAACACTATATAAAGAAGGCATGCCAGGAATTGAATTTCCTTCAATAGATCCATAGGCTAGAAAGCCACCAAATTTTGGGCACAATAGCTGGCTTATGAGACCTCTTTCCCCTGCAGAGTATGCTATTATTGGTACCTGCAGATAAATAATATTTGATATGTTATACCACTGCAACAGTTTATACAACTAATCTGCACATATTCAAAGCAAAGTCAATAGAGTTAGAGTTTCATACTTTGCAATGAGAAAGCAAATGAAAAATTCTTGCTATCTCAGTAATATCAGTTACATTTGCAGCCATCTTGATGATATCTGCTCCAGTAGCTCGCATGCTAGCGGCAAGATTGTTTAACTCTTCATCTGAAGAGGTCATTCCATTTATGTGACATGACACAATAAATTTGGTAGCACTACCATTCTTCATTTTCTGTTCCCGAATAAGATCAGAAGCAACCTGGACAATCACATGATATGCAAGTCAGATAAAACTAAGAGAAATTTCAAAGGAACAAATAGGTCATTCAAAGGGAAAACTACCTATGGCACTTTTTAATTTAACTGCTATCAGATAAATGAGAAACGAAAATGGGAGAAAATATTATTTAAGTTTGTAAAATAGTCAATGACAGAAATGAAAGCACCAAAATGCAATAATCAAGAGTATAATAGTTTGCAAACAAAAGTACAACAATTTAAAAGCTACCTTGAGTTCAAAATCAACATAATCAGCTCCCATTTCTGTAGCTAAATGAAGTGCTTCAAGCCGGGAGTGCTCATCTCCTTCATACTGACCACCTTCCGATTTAGGCCTGAAGAAAAGACTGAATCTTAGAAATTAAATACATGGAAACTTCAAACCTTCCCAAACTTTCAAACCGAAGTTATGTTTTCATCTTTTCCTACAGTTTTAGAAGTTCATACAACATAGATTCCTGTCATCTCAGAAAGAATGGCAAAATTCTATCATTGCCACCTATTGTAATCTAATTATCCTACCTCATAACACAACTCACAAGCTTCTGAAAGTGAAAATGAAGAAAACATTATTAACAAAAGTAGCAGTACGATAGATTTTCATTCAGAAAAAGAGTACAAACTCATTAAAAACTCATAAAGTTGGGCACTGATATTTGTCCTCTCTGTTTCCAGCCATTTCTATGATATGTTTGCATCCACAAGCAAAAGTGACAGTTCAGTATCATGGTTGGTCTCAAATAGGTAGAACAAAAAACATTTATTATTACAGCTATTTGATGTGTTGAATTCAGGATGCCCGTCTTCAAATCACCAAATAGAAGCCCATCCTTGCAACAATATGCTGCAGCTTTTACGCAAAAATACATTGCATGTGATTCTGAATTACTGGCTACATCCATATAAAAAGAAATGATGGGAGCTAATAATATCTTTTCCACAAAAAAGGACAAGGTACAGCAACATACAGAAAAGAATCTATCAAATACAATCTTGACTTCTAAAATGAGGGAAAAAAAGCAAATTTCCAACTCTAATCTCCTAATATTCATAAGACTCTCAAATAACATAAAACTAAGAAATCCACTAGTAGAAAAAAACAAAGGTGAGATGATTACCTATATACAATGATCACTGGCAAAACTCTATTTTTGAGGATGATTTGAATATCCCGGTGAGGCTGGAAATTCTTGATATGGTCCAATCTAATCTCAACAACTTGTGCACCTTCAGCCTTTGCCTGGTGCATGTCTTTAACAATTTGCTCCACTGATTGAGCCATTAATGGAGCACATATCATAGTTGAATTGTTCAGCATCCCAGTACTACCCATTTCAGCAAAAGATCAAAAAAGCCAGCTAAACTTTGAGAAACCCAAAAGAAGAGAAATTAATATAAATTAGAATATATAAATAAGTTTGGTCTGTGTATAACGTATTAAACTGAAGAACTTTGCCAAAGGGTGAGTTAGTTGATGTAACAAGTCAAAAAAATGCCAAAGACAGAATGATTCTGTAGCATTTTAAAAATATTGGTTATATGATTTAATTAAATTAAAATTAAAATTTAATATTAGTTTTTAGTCTTTGATTTCGTTTTTGCTTCGGTTGGTGTGGCACCTGCTAGGTGACAAAAAATACAAATAACTTTATTCATATTTTTCCTTTTTGGTCTTTGCGTCCCACACGAAATCAACAATGAATCCATCTCATGTTTTTATGCATTTAAGGACAACAAAATCTACGAATCTAAACAATTTTTTTTTCTTTCTTTTGCCAATCACAAATCTAAAAAGTTAGATCTAGTGAAAAATAATAATATTTGAGTCAAACAGTAAATATTATTATAATGCAGGACTGGGGACGTAAACCAGTACCAGGACCAGGAGCCAGGACTGGAGATAGGCTAAAGAGTCTAATATTCAAGTGGGCTGCGTTTGATGTAAGACTGGGCTTGCTCCGAGTTTTTCTTGGTCTTGGAATCTGCCCATGTCTTTGGTTAGCAAAAATGAGGGAAATTTTCAAATTACAAATAAACTGTTTCAACTTTCAAAATGCAAATCACTTTCTTAGATTATTACAAGCAGTTCCTTTTGATGTTCCACTTGAAACCCTCAGTCCTGGGACCGACTCTACTACCACTGAGCTAACAGCTCATTGTACAAGCAGTAAAAAATTATTGTCCAGGTTCCATGATCTCTCTTAGAAATCAAATACCAAAGCAAAAGCTTCTACCAAAGGCAAACGGCAAACTGACGGCTAAATTTCACTGAGTTGCTCATTTCAATCTGAGTCTGAGCTCCTGTCATCAGCAATGGCAGCCATATCTGCCTGCATTTTACCACTTAATAGGTTTGTGTTTGCAGAGAAATTGGAGTCCCATAAAACGTGTGGCACAGCTTGATCTGCAAAGAAGCTTTCCAGTAGTTGCAAAGGTGACAGTTTAACTGTGGAACCAGCACTAGAAGAAGTACTTGAGACGGCTTCTACTGACACATTTATGGAGGTTAACTTAGTTCCACACTCGTGCCGTGGTTTTGAATTGGCAGAAGGGACTTGTCCAGTTTTTTTCCGGCCTGTTTCCTGCTTTTGCTTCCTAGCAACATTGTTTCGAACTGCCTTCTGCCTTTCCAGTTGTCTAATGTAGTCTTCCAGATCGTTAGGTGGGTATAGTGATTCAAGCTTGTGATCAGTAATGCATCCGGTGACTTTCCTCACAGCAGCTATTTCATGATCTATAATTTGATGCTGCAAGCACATTCAAGTTAACACACAGACTCAGGATTACAGTTCAATTTTCAGCAAAATTTTGAGCATGCATAATGATAAAAGGTATATGGAAAAGTTACCCATTTCCAATGCGATTTTTTGGCCTCGTGATACAAACTCTCTTTGGAATATTCCAAGTGAACTTTCAGCATGTCTGCAGGGGGAAACTTGTCGACAAGATCAAATGCGCATATGTATGCAATAGCCTCAAGCCGTAGATTGTTTTTTACAAGGGTTTCAATCAAGACTGTCAAATTGAAAGCAGATTTCACAGGTGTCATCAGATTGCTGTCAGGCTTAAAAAAAAAAAAAAGACTCATGCGAAAACACCACCTGAACTTAATAGGTTACCATCATAATCGATAAATGTCATATTTTTGCTATGTAACTGAACGAACAAGATGATTGAGAAAGAAAAAACAAGATAAGTAGTTATCAGAATTCAGAAACTTACCACAAAAAAGAACTGTGGTGGAAAAGAAAAATTAAGAAAATAATTTACCCATAAGGACCCCCTTTGATTCCTTTCATTTACCATTCGAGCACATGATACAACGAAACAACTGTTGTAGCATCTAGGGTTTGATATGCAAAAGTTATACCTCTAGAAATCACTCAAATATTATTTTGGGTAATTCCTGCATTATACTTAGTCGCTAACATCTAGAGAAGATGTATCTATAGTAGCATTCATATAGCTATGCAGAGAAGACAAGGATAACCTCACCTAACAGCTAAAAGAACCAACAAAAAGAGAAACGATAAACTAGAGAGACAGATAGAAACTAGACAAACCTCGGATCTTATCTGTCAAACCAAGAGCCAGGCACAAATCAGGAGACTGTCTATACTCACTAGCAATTACCAAAAGAACAAGAAGCTCATCCTCATCATAAGCAGAAATCAAACGGTAAGTGACTATCAGTTGCAAGAAACCATATGCCATCACACCTTTCTGGTACTTTTGTGTTCTTTCTTTCCAATCATCTGCCAACTTCATGACCTCTTCATTTACATGGGGTTCAATCTGGAGTGGAAATGTCCTTAACTGCTCCATCAAAAGAATGCAACTCTTTCTCACCTCGCCTGAGGCATCCCTATTAAAGCCATCCCCCAAGTTCTTTTTCTTTTTAGGAGCATCCCCTGACTTTGAATGGTAAAACATCGATAATGCATCCAAAACAAGTTTTGCAGGGTCAGGGGCCAATTGGAGAGCATCAGAAATTTCACAGCACATTAAATCATGATCCTCCACATGCTCGCATAGAAACAGTATTAAACCCCTTGCATCCATACTGGTGCTACAAGATTGTAGGTCAATGCTTGCTTCTGAAGGAACAAAGCCATCCAATTGAAAATTTTCTAATTGACGTTGGTCAATCTTTACTTGAGCATGATGGATACTACTTTCTGTTCGGCTAGAGAATCAACTTATGAGCATATATTTAACTAGTAAGTCAATTTTTAGCATCAAAATAATAGAAAACCAACAAAGATATACTTGCCAAACTCTAAGCATGCACGGTACCATTCATGCTACAAAATTATTGTATTTACAAACAAGTACATTCAACAATAACAAAAAGTTGTGGAGGAAGGGAGGACTAAACCTTGAATTATGATCTTGTTCGATAAAAAAGAACTAAAAAAGTAATAACAAGAGAAAAAAATAGAAGAGATTTTACCAGGGGTGGCTTTGTTGACTGCTCCAGGTGAAGTGAACTGTTCCAAGCTCCTGTTATTGGCAATTGAAGACCCATGTTGAGAATTAAATGAGTTTGTGTCTACAGAGAAAGCAGTGGAGTCCCACAAACTACAAGCTGCAGCTTGATCGGCAATTGAGCTAACTGATTGTTCAAGAAGAGATGGTTTTAAGTTAAGACTGCAACCAGCACTACCAGAAAGGCTTGGTGCAGCCTCTGCTGACATATTCGTGGAAGGCCACTTAATTTCACCCTCATGCTGTGGTTTAGCCTTGGATGAAGGGACTGACAAATTTTTTTTCCTCTCTGCCTTCTTCTTTTCTCTCTTTGCTGTATCATTTCCCTGTTCTTTCTGCATTTCCAGTTGAACAATGTAGTTTTCAAGATCCTCAGTTGGGTATAGAGATTCAAGCTTGTGATCAGCAATGCATCTAAGGACCCTTCTCATAATAGCAATTTCTTGGTCTATGGTCTGATTCTGCAAGCATCAGGAGTTGAAGTCTTAAAGATATAAAATAAATAGGATAGAAGCTGGATCTCAGCTTAAACTTTGAGCAAACAGAGACACAAAAGGTGCAAAGGTTACCAGTTTCACATTTGATTTTTTGAAATTCTTGTATTTGCTCATCTTGGAATATTTCACGTGGTCATTCAGAAGGTGTGCAGGAGGGAACTTGTCAGCAACATCAAATGCACAAATATACGCAATAGCCTCAAGCCGCAGATTATTTTTTATGAGGTTCTCGATAAGGACTGCCAAATGCAACCAAAATTTTCAGTTCTGATCAAAATGTCATTAAGGAGACAAAAATACTATTACTGAATGAAATGCACCACCTCAACTTACTAATAACTATTATAAACAGGGAAAACTCCTAATGCAAATGAATGAGAGAGATGAGAATTAGACCAAAGCATAGAGTACTTATCAAAATCAAAGACTTCTGCGGAGCTCATTTCCAAAGCCACTAATGCTGTAGCTTCCAATAACTAGCTACTATAGAAATGAGAGCTGGAGAATTCTGGACAACTAAATATATAACCAAATTGATCTGCCAATCCCTTTTATATATCATTCGAATACATGCTGCAACCACACAACTGCTGTAGCATGTCAAGTTTTTATGTAAAAATTTTATAGTAGGAGAGCACTCGAATCTTATTTGGGAAACTCCTGCTGTATATCTAGCACTATGTTAAAGAGGTGTAACTGTTGGGAAAATACAACACATCAGGCCAGAATCTGACCTTCAATTCTCAAAAATAACTAGCATTCCAAGCCTTGGTTGGCCCAAGAAATAATCTAGCCCAGCAAGCCCTGGTCTAATGGCTTCTATTTCAGTTTCTCATTTCTTAAGGAGTATGACATGTTGGAATAGGAAATCATGTTCACAACTTATATGGGTGTCTAACATATATCTACAAAGAACTCGAATTGTAAACTCAAAAGGCAAAATCGCAAGTTCAGCATGTTTTTATTTGATTGCATACACATGCAAATTAATAATAACAACAGAACGGGACAAAAATAACCAAAAAATGTAGCATATAATTGTCTTTACATTGCAGATGCATTCAAAAGGGGAAGTGCAATATAAATAAAGTAATTTTAGAGAGATAAAAAGGACAGACAGGCAAAGGCAAAGCCAAAATATTCAGGCAATGCATTCAATTTGTTCCTTAAGGCAATGCACTTTGACAACACCCTCAACTTCAACACACAAACACAAGTGTGGAGCAAGCAAAGGGGAATGACCAACATTAAAGGGACGATATTTGTCAGCTTACAAAGGAACAAATGTGAGAAATGACTAAACTTAATTCATAATCTGCTGATTGCTATAATTCCGGCCTCATAATATCAAGGGCATTTAGAAGTTTCATACTAGAACACCACCAAAATGTTGAAAGATTTTATATAGAAAAGTTTGGAAAAAATATTATGTTTCCAAGTATCAAAATTAGTCAAAAGATGTAAATATTATATACATGTTATTTTGTTTTTCTTGTCAAAGCAGCAATGCAACACCCCAAAGCATCAATATAAGCTCTGAAGAGAAAACAGCTAAAACAAGTGACAATATCAAGAAACACAAAACCAACAAACACTAGTAGATCAGGAAACTTAGTATAGAGGATTTAGTGAACAATCTCTTAAGAGAGAGAGAGAGAGAGAGAGAGAGAGAGACTCACTTAATATCTTATCCGCGAAACCAAGAGCAAGACACAAATCAGGAGACTGTCTATACTCACTAGCAGTTACCAAAAGATGAAGGAGTTCATCCATATTATAAGCAGAACTCAAACAGTATGTAACTATAAACTGCAAGAATCCATATGCCATCACACCTTGTGGGTACTTCTCTTCCATTCTTTGTTTCCACTCAACTGCTAACTTAAGAGCTTCTTCATTCACTTGGCGTTCAATCTGGACAGAACATGTCATTAACTGCTCCAACAAAAGAATGCAACTCTTTCTTACATTGGATAAGGCTGCACCCTTAAACCCCTCCCCTGACTTTGAACGATAAAAACTTGATAATGCATCCAAGACTAATTTTGCAGGATCTGGAGCCAATTGAAGAGCATTGGAAATTTCATGTCGCATTTGATTATGATCTTCCACATGCTTCGACAGAAATAATATTAAACCTCTTGCATCCATACTGATACTAAGAGACAGTAGCTCAGGCCAATAATGAGTAGATGAAGAAGCAATATGCTGCTCAAACTTTGCTTCAGAGGGGACGAAGCTATCCAATTGAAAATTGTCTGCTTCAGATTGCTCAATGTTTACTTGAGAATGATGGACACCTCTCACTGAATGGTTAGAATATCAACTTGTAAGCATAGATGACACACCAGCAAGTGTGAATCTAGAATCAAAATAAATGAAAACCAACGAAATTCATAAATTTGACAAGCTATAAGTATGAAACAAATACCCTTCCATTTAATTAAAAATATATACAACAATCGATTGAGGCAAAATCATTGAGAGAAGCAGGATTTAATCAAGAACAAAGGTGAAAAATGATTAAATCTAAAATGAAAATCTTGATTAATTAACAAAATTCTAACCTGTAATAGAACAAGTTTGCGAATAAACAGATGAACAGACTATAAAAATCAAAGAGGTGAAAATGAAAATGAAAATGTTTTTTGTAGGAAATAACTACAAAAGAATTACTAAGTTTGGTCAACAAAACCCAGGATAGAACTCAGCATAGGAGCCTGTTTATGCTGAGAAATGCTCTCAAAAAGACTCTCAATTTCCTTGAAATTGAATTCACTAGTCAATCCATAAGCACCCACAAGCATCAAAAAGACCAAAACCTCTTTATCATAATTGCCTTGAGTTTTTATATTTCCTTTCAATTGTTGCGCTACCTTGAGAGCTTTTTTCCTCAATTTTTGTTTAACTTCTGGCCTCAATCTCATAAACTGCTCCAACAGAATTACACAACTGTTCTTGACCAGACCCCTTTCAACTCCTACATTTGCCTTCTCAGAATCCCCAGCTTTAACCACATCCAAAACTAATTTTGCTGGATTACCAGACATTTTCAGTGCATTGTAAACATCATCACCAATGATGTCATCATTCTCATGCTCATTCAAAAACATCAACAACTTATCTGCTTGTGTACGTGCAATAAATCTTAAATCAGCTGAGGATGGACAGGAATAATTGATCAATGTATCATCTATTGCCCCAGATGTCACTGTTGAAACCTCACCCAATCGCTCCATCTTTACTTGGGAATGGATTATGCAGCCCTCTGAACAGACCAAATATCAAAAAATTTTCAGAGCGCAGAAAACGCTGATAAGTGGAAGTTTTAGCACCAAAGGAAACAATGGTTTAACACAAGACCGATGTTACTTATTTGACTAAGGAAATTCCAAGAACATTACATTTTTTTTTTTTTTACATAAAGATATCAACTAGGCAATTTAATTTACTGCTCAAACATGAAATTTTACCTAATATGAGAAAGTACAGAGATTTTACCAGGGGCAGCCTTCTCAAAAAATCCAAGAATATGACCCAACAAGGAAGCCCGCTTATGCTGTGCAACCCTCTCAAAAAGACTTCTAATTTCCTTGGATTTAAAGTGATCAAGCAATCCGTAAGCACCCACAAGCATCAAAAACAATAAAATCTCCGTATCATCCTCACCCTCCATCCCAATCTTTAGCTTCCATTGTTTTGCCACAAAAGCTGCTTGTTTCTTAACATTTTTCTTTATCTCAGGCCTAACTCTCATCAATCCCTCCAACAAAACCAAACAACTTCTTCTCTCCACATTTCTCTCAACCCCAACATTTCCTTTGTCAGAAAACAGCCCTCTAACAGCCTGACAAACCAGTTTTCCAGGATTATTAGACATTTTAAGTGCATTATAAACCTCATCGGCAAGCTTTTCGTGTTCATTCTCATGCTCATTCAAGAACATCAACAATCTTTCCCCATCCGTACTAACAACAAACTTTAAATCCAGTAAAGATGAACCTTTTCCTATCAACACATCATTAAGTTTTAATCGCTTACCCAGTTCATTTGCTCTCAATTCAAGTTCTCTGAATCTATTCTCTACCTCATTTTCTTTGGATTGGAGTTGTTCAAAACGAGCTTGGATTGCACTTTGGATTGAATTGCAAAGTTCCTGGAGCTTTTGACATTGAAGGGTAAGTGAAGAGACTAAAGAAAAACCACCCTTGAGTTTTTCCAGGGAGTTTACAAGGCTTTTCCTTTGGGATTCTAACAGGATCAAGTCAGCTGAGATATCATCAAAAGAACACATTTTCTTTTTCTTGAAACAGAGATGCTTCCAGGAAGGGAAAAAAAAACAGAAAAATGAATGAATCCCAAAACAGTGAAAGGTTCACAGAGAAAATCTTTGTCGGGAAGTAAGTTGACTACTTTTCATTTGGTCTTTGTTTATAGTTTTCTTTCATGTGGAGGCCACTTTCCAGTCGGCCTCATTATCATGCAAGTTTGGAAATGTTTGGTTTTGTGGGTTTTGATTTTTGCTGTACGGTGTGGGCTTGATCAAACTCCTGAGGCTAGTAGCAGTAGCATCCACCCTTGTTGTATGCACATGCATTTGTATTGTGGGGAAATTGGGAATTAATGGGCTTCAAAGAAGCGACGACGCCCATGAATAATGGAAAAAAAAAATAATGCTACTCTTTATAGTCAAGATTTTATGACTTTTATCAAATTCGATTTATCTTGTTTTATCAGCAATTCTAACAATTTAGCTAAGCTCAAATGTTGTTGATTGAGTTGGTATCTATGTATTTGAATTTGATTGAGTTGGTATTCATGTCAAATGTTGTTGATTAACAGTTCATTTGGAAACCTGATTAAAGGGCTTCCACAGCTCATGTCGGTGAACCAACTCCCACGTCACACGGTCGGTGTGATAGGAACCCTTAATCAGGCTTTTAAATGAATTCCAAGTTGCTAACTATGACAATGGAGTTAGGAATGGCTAGTTACTTGCATAGAGAGTTGGTTATGTGGTTGGTTACCATGCATTTATACAATTGGGATGGGTTTTAAAATTCTGCATTTACCCATCCATCATGATAATTTCCTTTTTTCTTTTTTTTTTCTCTTTTAGCAGCATACGTCCTCTGTTCTAATGTGAATACAAATACTAACACTAAAAAAGCGGGGAAAAGAAAAAGAGGCAGAAGGGCCACAAGCATTCCCAAGTACATGGATTAACCAGTGATAGCATTTAAACTAGGTAATAGATCGGGAGTTAGTGACCCATTTCAGACATGGTTGCGAAGGGTCAGTATGATTCATTGCCAACAAAAAATAAAAAAACCATGGCCTAATCTATATATATACGGCCTATATATAATATGTACAGGCGAAGTGGTTCTTGAGAGAGTTACCAGACAGGAACTACAACTGCTTGGGCCTGTTGAGTTTCAAGCATTGTTCTCGAGCAGCATTTAATTGCCTGGTACCTAAATTAGATGAATAACCTGACTTGGCAGGCAATCCAAAATGAGCTACGCCTTGATTAAGTGGAACACCGAATCCTTGCTGTGAAGCTGATCGATTATTCGGATCGTTAAATGTTGCCCCTTGAGGAGCGTAGATATTAATAACTGGTCCATCAATCCGAGCACGCTTTTTGCTCAACCCTTGCAGTTGAGTCCCCGGAGTGGAAGCACAGATCCCACCTTGAAACTGTTGAACTGCAGGGACAGGACTGGGTTGATTCCTGAGGACAGAACGGCCATGATCACAAGTTGTCTGGCCCTGCACCTTCGTTTGAACAGCAGGTGCTGGGGCTGGTGCAGAAAATCTCCTGGTCATCTTTTGCTTTTCTATCTCTGCAATGCACTTCTCAATGACCTCAACCGGCATACTGGATTCAAGCTTACAATCCTTGATGCATTCAATTGCTGATTTCAGTGCAGCTATCTGTTCATCTATGGCCTTCTCCTGTAAAAATAATCATATCTAAAATATATACTGTTCATTGTAAAAACTGTGCATGTCGATAATGGCAATTAAATAAACTATAGAGGAAATACTTACATTGCGAAGAAATGTAACACATACCTGTACTTCAGGCAAATTCTTCCCCATCTTACATCTATCACGTGCCACTTTATTTATATCTTCCCAGAATAGGTTTAAAAGCAGTTCTGTTGGGCACTTGTCCTTGGAATCAAATGCACAGACAAACCTAACAGCTTCAATATACTGCTTCCTTTCAATAAGACTACCAATGAAATCTGTAACAAAAATTTGTAGTCTCCATCAATCTGTCTTTTTTATATGCATGTTACAAAAATATTTTATAAAACTTGAATAAGTTTTGTACACTGACAAAAATGTTAATGATTTATATGTAACAAACACTATATACATATATATATATATAACAATTTAAATCTATATACACTTTCATCGTATAGGGAAATATACCGACAACCTATATAAAATTTTTTTCCTTTTTATCTGATAAGAATAATATGAGAAAAAGAATCAGAAGATTGTTAACTAATAATAGGCATAACCCCCAAATGAAGTCTCTCAGTTTAAGGTTTCAGAACTAACAACAGCTGACTAGCAACAAAATACTATAGTAATTAGTAAGCATAAAAAATGAGAATAATTAGACAAAGAAAATACATGTTCATCTGCCTATGTAACTGCTTATACATATAACAGATGCATACATGCACAAACAAAAGAAAAAGATATGTTTATCTGCAGATAGACAATCAGACAAGGATATGAATATGCAAACTAAGCTGTTACTAAATTTACCAGGAATCATATCTGCAAAACCAAGGACCTGGCATATATTTCGAGCCTGTTGGTGTCGAGCAGCAGTCCCAAGAAGTTTGAAGATTTCATCTCTGTTAAACGATGACACCAATCCAAAAGCAGCAACAAACTGTAAAAAACCTATAATCTCAATAGAATTTTCAGCACTCAGTTTCATCTTCGCTCTCCACTCAATTGCCAACTTCAATGCATCTGCTTTTACGTTAGGTTGCACAAGTGGTGAAACTTGCAAAAGTTGCTCCAACATAAGGACATAAATCTTCAGAACACTTTCTTCAAATCCTGTCCCACCCTTATTCTGATGTTGAGAACATGTCCCTAGCATCAGGTCCAGAACAAACTTGGCTGGATCTGGTGAGATTTGAAGAGCAGACAAAACTTCATTCTGTCTCAAATCAGGCTCATCTAAATGCTCACTGAGGATACCTTGCAAACTCATTCCATCCATTGTAGCACCAACCCCAAAATCAGTAGATGAAGTTTCATTTGCATTGCTAATCATAAAATGTTCTGGCTGCTCAGTCTTTATTTGGTTAGGGGTGATGGGGTTTACTAACCATATGCAAGACAAAAAAGAAAATAAAAAGAGAATTTAGGAAGTAAACCAAACTTCTTATTTCTCCATTGCAATTAAGAAGAGATTTATAGCAGAAACTTGCTATCTCCATATGAGCATTACATACTGAAATTAGCTTTAAATCTTGAAAAGAAAAAACAGAAACTTCCAAGTTAAAAAGAAACTTTCTAAGAGCCAGTGGTGGTAAAATGAATTAATGAAACAATGTCACAACTATTACTTTGATAGACTTTGACCATGGATTGAATGTGAGATTTCCTTTTCCTTTCACCTTATAACTAGAAACCACAAAGCCTAACCAGCCTCCAAACTTTTACACATATATTACAAAACATGGACTTGTAAGAAAATAAATTTATCCTGAACAGGTTAGCAGATAAAGACCAATAGCAAAACATAACCATGACCCTTACAAGCCACCTAGCTTTCATAGATGCCATATTGGTAATAGCCTCATAGATGGACAGTTTTGACTATGGCTTTCATATAGTAAAAACAGTGAAATAAAGAGACTGGAAGAAAAAGAGGAAAAACATGTTTTATGGTGCTCCACAACCCAAAATAAGAAAAATTTTTGAAATGAGTGAATGACTGCTATTAAGAAGGATCATCAAGATATCTTTTCCCAGTGACCATGATATATGGAGAATGAGTATCCAGAAATCACTCCTTTAGATGATACATAGGTAATTGAGCATCTAAATCCCTTTCCAGTAAAAGGGATGAAATCCCCTAACGCAGATTAACATAGGGAGGGAGTAAGAGAAGATAGAAAGGGGAGCGTCTGGTACTATCAACAAATAGAGACAGAAAAATAGAGAACACACCTGTTACCATGTTTGTGGTTCCAAGGACCTGAAAGGACAAACAAGGATTCTCACTCCTCGATTGAGAATGAAGGGCATTAATTAGTTGCTTCTCTTTCAATTCTAGTTCTTTACAGCGTTGTTCAACTGCCTTTAGGACAGAATCAAATTTTTTTTCTTTCAGTTCAAACTCCTTGACACGAGCATCAAACCCCCTCTTTTCGGTTTCCAATTTTTCCAAGTGTTCCTCTACTGATCTTTTAAGTGCATCAAGATGCTTCTCCCTCACATTGGCCTCCTGTAGGCGTTCACTGCATGCCTTTTCAACTAAATCCAGTTGCTTTTCTTTTGATTCAAGCAAATCAGAGAGCTGTTCTTGAGATTTTTGTTTTGCTTTAAGGTGCTGTTGTTTTAATTCAAGTTCATTGGTGCACTCCAAAATTGAGTTTTTGATTGAGACAAGCTGTTCCTCCTCTGCTTTCAGCTGCTTTCTGCATCCTTGTATTGATATTTGGACAGAGCTTAGTTGCTTCTCTTTCAAATAGAGTTCTTGCTTATGTTCTTCAATGCACATTTGTATAGCATTGAACTCCTGCTTTTTCAATTCAAGATCCTCAGAATATCCTATCACCCTCTCTTTGACTGAATCAAGCTCCTTCTTTGATGATTCAAGCTGTTTCTCGCTCCTCCTTATCGTTGTCTGCAGTGAACCAAATTCAATATCTCTCGAATGAAGCTCCACTGAGCGATCCATAATTGTTTGTTCAATCAAGCCTAATTCCTTCTCCTTAGATTTGAGTTTAGCAGCATAGTATCTGACAGATTTGTCAAGTGCATCATGTTTTTTCTCTTTGGCTTCAAGTGCTTCAGTGCAGTCCTGAATCAAGGATTTGAATGAATCTAGAGTTTTCTCCTCCTCATAAAGCTGTTTACAATGGTACTCAATCATTTCTTGCCTTCTAACAAGTTCGTTCTGCTTCATGTCAAGTTGGTTAGAACATTCCTTGATTGAATTTCGCAAACATTCTAACTCCTTCTCTTTGAATGCAAGCCCCTCATCATACTCCTTCATCATATTTTCCTTCAAATCTATGTCCATCTCTTTCAACTCAAGTTCCCTACATTTTTCATTAATGGATCTCTGTAAATGGTCCAATTGATTATCTTTGAGACAAATCTCATTACAACATTCATCAACTCTTCTTGCCACTAACCCCAACTCCCTCTCTTTTGACTCAAGCTTTCCTTCACATTCTTCAACCAACAACCGCAACAAATCCAACTTCTTCTTTTTCACATCAATTTCCCTACTAGATTTTTGAATTTGTTCCTCTACCAAACCCAATTGCTTCTCCTTCCCTTCTAGCTTCTCACAACATTCACTTATCAACTTCTGCACAGAACACAATTGCTCTTTCTTCAAACTAAGCTCCTTAGAACAACCCTCAACGAATTTTCTAACCAAATCCAAGTCCTCTTTTTTCGATTTAAACTCCAATGAACACTCTGCATACGATTTTTGCATCAAATCGATTTGATCTTGTTTCAACTTAAGCTCAGCATTACATTCTTCAATCTTTTTATCCAACAAACTTAATTCATTTTCTTTCAAACCAATCTCTTCTCGTCTTTCCCTCAATAGCCTCAATGCAGTTTCTAGCTCTTTTTCTTGCAATTCAACAGCCTCTACTCTTTTCTCAATATTCTGTTGAACCAAATCAAAATGATTCTCTAATTCTTTCCATTGCAAAGTAAACATCAGAACTGAAGACGCTTGAGCCCTGGTTTGCTCAAGCGACTTACGAAGGTTCTCCCTCTTTAACTCACCAAGTTTCACATCTGCCTTAATATCCTCCATTACAAGAAAAACAGAAACAAAATGCAGAAACCTTCCACCCTTAAAAAAAATACAAAACAAACAATTCCAAACCCAACTGCAGAAAAAACCAAGGAAACAAAAGCAAGTTCGAAGCTCTTTCTCTTCTTCAACTCTCTTAAGAGAAACTCATATGTAAAACCCACTTTCTAAAAAACCAAACAAGGCCAAACCCAAATTTAAAAATCGAATGCAAGAACAAATTTTTATGGTTTTTTACTTTTTTTTTTCAACTCTCCCAAGTTCCAACTCCAGCCTATTCTATGTTGATCAAAGAAAACCCACTTTAAAAATGAAAATCCAAGCAAAACACAGATACAGAAGGGTCAATGCAAGAGCAAGTATCACGTTAAAAAGACAAAAGGAAGATGAAAAAGTTACAAGTGACAAACCTAGTTGAGGTTTTGCTACAGTTGAACGGATGAAGAGAAACAGAGAAACCCTAACGTGAGAAGAAAAGGAGAGGTTTGCTTGTTTTGTTTTTCATGGCAGTGTGGTGAAAGTTGGACAGCTTACACTGGAGAAGCCTAGAGGGGAAGGAAAGACTATTAAAAGCTTTTGTAATGGCCAATCAGGAGAGGTAGAATTGTTTTGGTACGTGAAGGAGTCTTTTCTTGTGCGTGCACCCGCAGCTGGATATGTTTTCGTGATCAAAATGATTGGCTTTGGATTTTTTCTTTGATATTCCATATTTGAGAGGTTAATTTTCAACCTTATACATTGAAATTAAAAATTAAATTTTTTAGAACAAAACAAAAAATTATGGACATATTACCTAAGAAGATTATTGATGCTAAATCTTTTGTTTCCCTTTGTTGAATGCAAAGTGCAATTTGGTGAACATTGATGCACCTACGAGAGTTTGAAATATGATTAAAACGTAAAATTTTAAAAGGTCTGATATAATTAGAAGAAGGTCAAGCATAATTTATTCTTAATAATTATTATTGTTAATTAATTATCCATCAAAGATGGAATGAGAAAAGTTGTAACAACTATAGAGTAACTATAACCCTTAATTATAAAATTGGAATTAATTTTAATATTGAACATTTTAAATTTAAGTTTGAATCGTAATTTAAAAAATAAATAAAATATAAGATATGGTACTTAAGTCAATTTTATAATAAAAAATCTTGAATTAAATTTTAATTGTAATTTAATGAATAAAAAAAAGTTATAATCCATAATTATGCATAATTTATGTAATTTTTTAAAGTTAATCCTAGTGGTTAATTGTGTTAGACCTACGTGGGGATTTTTTTTTTTTGGTAAGATAAAGAGCAAATTTCATTTTTTTTTAGACGTACTTATCCTTTTTTGGTAAGATGTAGGGTAGAGATGGTTACTGACATGGTTCTATCAATAGAACCGTATATATGGAATCAAATAAAAAGCAAAAGGAGGTGGATTCTTCTTTTAATTAAAAAAAATTTAAATGTGTATTTGAGAAGAGATATCAATGGATATGATATGAGAAAGGTTAAAACCCTTCGCATCTCTATCTTTATATTTTTATATTATATTTATTTTATATTTATATTTAACATGTATTTTAAATTTATTCATATCTTATTTCGTATGTATTTAATAGGTATGGATAATACTCATATCCATAGATTTAAAAAAATAATAATAATATTTTTAAAATTTTTTAATTTTTATTTTGTATATTTAAGTAATTTTTTATAAATATATATATTCATTCAATAAAAATTTATTAATTTTAATTAATTTAAAATAATAATTTATATTATTTAATAAAAACTTTATTTACTAAAATATATAAATATACATGTAAGGTATATGTACGAGATGAGTACTATATTATCCGTTATCATTTTCGTACCTAATAAAAATTTAAAATCATATTTATTCTTATGTCTATATTTATAATATAATATTCATCCATATTTTTATTTTTATTCAGATAAAAAATTCAATTCTCCATTAAATATGGATAAGATGAACATTTGTACCTTGAAATATTGATTTCATTTCAATCAAAGTTTTTAAAAATATAAAAATTTTATCTATATAAAAAAATTTAAAAAAAAACTCAAAAATTAAGTGAAATTTTAAATTTCTACTTAAATAAGTAATTTTTCAAAATTTCTCTTTTTTTATTGCACAGATTCATCGTAAAATTTAAAACTAAAAAAAATAAATATTATCTTATTTAACTCTAATATATACTTCAAGATAAGGAATCAACTCACATGAGTGTAAAATTAAAAAATTTTAAACCTTTTTTTGATCATTGATTTGAATAAATCCAAATAAGAAAAAATATAATGTAAAAAGAGAGAAAATTAGTTAAATTTTATAAATATACTAAAATCAATTGTTGGAAAAAACATAAAAAATTTTAATTTTACATTAATGTATGTTGATTTCTCCTCTAATTTAAATCTATTTTTTTAACCTAATATATAAAATAAGTAGAGAATTCAAATTATAACGTTTACAATCTTTTTTATCTCTAAAGTATAAGTTCTTTTATAAAAAAAATAATTTTTATTAAAAAAATACATGGTTAAATGAACCATTGAAAGAAAGACTTCATTAGTGAAATGGTTAGCATCATCATTCTCACCATTAAATATCAAATAATTGATGAGCACATTTCTTTATAAAATTGTAGAGATGGCTTTTTCAATAATTTAAAAAAAAAAAAAAAGGAAGAAATGATTGTTTCCAATCTTTTTCAATGTTGTTTTATTACTCAACAAATGAAACCTCTTTTCCAAGTTCCAAGTCTCAAAACCAGCTTTTCCAAATTATATTCTATCGCCCAAAGTAATTGCCAAAGAAGGAAAGTCTCCAGCTTTTTCAGTATCTCAGATATCAGCAGCATTATATTAAAAACAGCTAGAGCCAGTTGTCAAGAAAGTGAAAGAAAGCAGCAGCGATTCCCTGTCTAAGCTCGAGTTTTTGCATTACAAGGTAAGGATAGTAAATGCCAAAGGAACTCAACAGTCAGCTTCAAACTCCATCTTTTCAATATCTTAGGACCACCATGCAATGGAAAAGGGTGCTATTTTCCTTCCACAAAAATTTTGGTTTTAGAATTAGATAGCACATTTCATGCATTGGTATTTGTTTTTTAATCAAATATATATAAAATATAAAAATTATTATTTTGATAAGGATTACACTTTTGATTCTAAACTTGTACAGTTCCTTTTCCAGTGAAGATGTCAGTTCAACAAGTGAATGGCACTTAAATGCACAGAAAATAATTCAACAAAGCAATCTTATCAATAAAAAAGGGGTTTCAAAATATCCACATACAAAAGTTCCAAGTCTATTTGTCACATAATTTTCTACAAAAGTATTTATTGTACCACTTCTGATATTCTGAATGGGACTATAGTAGTTGTCAGGCTGAGTTTTTATCTTGCAGAAGCAGAAGCAGAAGATACGTTCTTTTAAACTAGCATCCAGAGTGTGTTTGAAACCCAAGAATTGGTGTAGCATTCCTGATAAGATGCTCATCAAGCCTTTATTCAGATCACAAATGAACCTGAAGTAGCTTTTCTGGTAGCATGCTCATCAAGCCTTTATTCGGACCACAAATGAACCTGAAGTAAAAGCAAGATCAGAAGTCTCAACAAGGTTATATGTTACATGAATTATAACTATATAAATAACTCAGAACAGATAACTCTGTTCAAATATCAGACATTCTGTTTACATTTCTTCTGGAAACATGTTATCATCATTGATTAAGTGTCAATTCAAAAACAAAGAATGAAAGAACCATCAAATGCAGTGAATATGAATGGTATAAACAAGAGGTATCCAACATAATTACATCAACCCTTTCTAATTTCTACAATAGAAAGTCACTTAATACTACTTAAGTTCATAAATAAGGGAACCAAAAGCTAAATTTGCTTCATGTATTAAATAACACTGACTAAGTTCCTAAAGTAGCACTTTAACCTTAGCTTACTCAAAATCACATATAATCTGAGTGTCTAGAAACATGGTTAATAAATGTTTAGAAAAGGATAAAAATTTATATAGCAATCATCAAACAGGTTACTTACATGCAGGAAGGTTGGATATGTCAGCGGACACTGCACAAGGTATTCCCAAGTTTGAAAGAGCTCCCCTGATGATTCCACATGGAAAATAGAGATGCATGCTTTGCACACCCTTGTTGTCAGCCATGATAGAAGCCTCTTCGGAGGCTCCATTTTTAGGTGATAGATCAATTGACATGCGTGTAAGCCAACGAAAACGATTATCTTGCAATACAAAGGTACCCTGCAAGACAAGTGTAAACCATTTCTAAAATTTCATCATCACAACCAATTTTTAGTCAGTTTCAGGTCCTAAACATACTCTATGATTTGTCTTCAAGTTGTCTATCTGCTTCTTAAAGAGTACAGACCAAAAATCCTTGCAGATGAACTTGATTGCCTCTAAATGATCACTAAAACGTGGCCTCTCCAATGTGTACCTGGCAATGACTAAACTTTGTTATTACAACAAGTAGGATCTTAACCTTCCTTAAGAACGAATATCAGGAACAATTCATTGTCTAAGTGCCATAACTTGTGTAATTGAGCAAGCCCCAAGAAATCAAAATGCATTTCACCAAATACATTAAGCACTAACACAAGTGTTAAAGCCCCCATTCTGAATCAAATTTTGGTGTCAGGCGCAACGTACATCACCAAATGAAAAGAGCTCATTACATAAGAAAAAAAAGTTGAAAACTAAATCTGGATAAAAGACATTAACCAATACCCTTATTCTAACTACCTTAAAATGATGATATCTTTTCTGTTAGTAGAAACAAATGCATACAAGTTACGAAGATTTGTCAAGACTTGAAATCAAATCATTTTTCAGCTCTTGTTCTCCATGGTATTTACCTTACATTACATCCTACTCAAGGATAAAATGGAATTACTAAGATCATCATAACAACAATTCCAAGCAATACCAATAATTACAAAAGCCAGACCATTCCGTCAATTAGCATCCACAATCAGAACTTTAAATTTTCGTGTGTTCAGAACATTACTTTATCATAAAAGATTTACTACTAGAAAGGAAGGCTAACAGCATTCTTTTTCCCACATCACAAACCACACCCAATTTGACATAATCTATAATAGAATAAAGATCCAAAATTTATAATTGGGTTTTTGAATTCCACTCAAATCAAATCCATTTCAACTAATGGGTGTTTTTTCACTCCCCCAGATCCAAAAAAAAGACATTGAAATAAAGTTACTTAAAACTAAAATTTATACTAAAAAAACATTTCATTAACAAGACATTAAAACAAGGTACCTTGAAACTAAAAAAACCAATTTGTTTCACTCCCCCAAATTAAAAAAAAAAAAAAAATTAAAACAAGGTACCTTAAATTAAAACTAAAATTCACACTAAAAAATTTCATTACCAATTTATAATTCAAACGAGCTCCTCAGATTCACAAATCTACAAATGTTAACTAAAAAATAGCGAATTTGGGTTTTGATAAGAAGAGGAAGATTTTACCGTTCGGAGAGCTGATGACCGACCTGATATCCAATGGCTTCGATCCGACGGGCGGCGAGCTCAGGCTTATTGGCGTAGAAACGGTTGCAATATGTTGAAACCATTTCGGTTAGTAGGCTATCGATGCAGCTTTCTGATACCTCTCTCCCCATTTCCTTCTCACATTAATGGAAGAAACAGGTTTTCCCTTCCTCTGCTTCTTCTTCTTGTCTCTAAAATATCTTACAGTTTTTTTTTACTTTTTTGTAATTTTATAGTTTGGACCTAATTTCTAGTAGTCTTGGGTTCGGTGGACTTGTTGGCCCAAAAAACTAAATAGAATAACTCTATATACATTAAATTAAGGAAAATTATATGTTAAAATAAAAAAAAAGCCCTAAACTTTACAATTTTATTTAAATAAGTCTTTATATTTTATTACATATAAGATGTCCAAATTAAATTGAACCATCAGTGCATATGCTTAGCAAGTTTTTAAATATTGTATGGAATTATTGGATTCGGGACTTTATTTTGGAACATTTTGTTTTTTGTCCCTATAAGATTGGATCATTTTTAATCTTGCCAGGAGCAATGTTTTGCGTGATGGAATTTCTTGATCGATTTTGTTCTTGTTTGATTGTTGGAATATTTGAAAATGGAAAAATAAATGCATATTTGAACAGAAATTTTCTTAACTTGATTATGTTGCTAATATTGTTACGGATAGGGTTAGGGAATTTTTTGCCTTATCATGAGATCAAAGGAGTTACTTATGTTAAGCAAGTCTCACTTATTCTTTGGAAACCTTTTCCATCTATTTTTATTAAAAGTAATGTGGATGGCATTGTTTCTTCTAATCCATGTGATTTGGGTATGAATGCATTGCACAAGATTCGGATGGTTATTGAATGTTTGGATTTGTTAGAAAAATTGGATATGGTTAAGCACTTAAGACCAAATTGTATGCAATTCAGATGGGACTAAAGTTACCCGAGTGGTTATTGAATCATATTCTATGTTTTCAATTAAAAAGACTATAGGCTCTATTCATGCAAAAGATCTTTTTTATCATATTATTCATCAATGTCAATAGTTTATTAGTATAAAATGAAAGTGTAGAGTTCAACATATTTTGAGAATGGCAAACTTTGATCTTGATTATTTGGCTAACTAACTTTTAGTTAAAGTGATAATCATTATGTGTTAGTTGACCCTAAGTAAATTTGCTTGGTTTAATGCACAAAACTTATAAGAGGCAGCAAGGTCTAGAGCCTTTAAGATTGTAAGGGGTTTCTACCACTTTTTTGCACCCAAAAAAAAAAAAAGACTTATCATTTTTGAGTTACACCAAAATAAGCCCTTAACCTTTCATTTATATTTAAATGAGTTTTTAACCTTTTAATTTGTATCTAAATAAACTCTTAACATAAATCATTCTTTCACTTATTTGGACAAAATTTAAAATATACAAATTTATTTGAATATAATAAAAATATAAAATTTTATTTAAGAAAAATGAAATAGTTCAAAATTTTTTTAATATTTTAACCAAAATTATATTACAACACCTATTTATTTCTTAATTATATACACCAAGTTTCATGTGCTTTTTCAAAAATTAGTTGAGTATCATTTAATAGGTCATTTAAAATTATTATAAAAGAATAAAGAGGCAATTTTAAATAACCCTCTCATTTATTGATAAGTATTAGCTCAAAAACTTGAATTAAACCAAGAGGAAAGGTGAATTGATTAATTATAAAATTTTTAAAATTTATATTTTTTAAGCAAATAAATAGAGAAAATATGAATATATTAAAAGTATTAAAAGCAAATAGATAAAGATAAAAAATCAAACACTAAAATTTATAAAAGGTTCGGCTCTTTTTTTAGGCACATGCGTCATCTCTTTTAACTCCATTTATCAAGAAGTCCAATCCATTATGTGTTGAATGTTTCGATCCAGCTTTTCAAAGTTCTATACAATCAACAATACAATCTCTTAAGAGTTATCTTCTCCCTTAAGCTCACAACCTTGCAATACAAATTTTGAAGTGTTTTGTAAACTAAAAAAAGCTCTCCAACGTTGGGTGTTTACTAGTTTAAATTGTAAGTTAAGATTAAGAAGAATATCAAGAGAAAAATAACATAAAAGATGAATTCCTACACTGTGGACATAATAAATACTCTTTAATGCTTAGAGAATATGGTAGATGGAAGTAATAAGTTTTTCGTAGCTCTTGATAGCTTGAAATGTGGTGGGAGACTTACTTTTATATGTAGAGAGTGGAAAATAGCCGTTATTTACATTAAATATTTAAGCCTACAAAATTTCAAAAAAAAAAGCAGTTTGAGCTTTTGGGTAGGAGGGGATCAATCTCCTTATATAGGGATCAATTTGGTCATCAAAATCAAAGGAATTTTACTCATGAAGCACAAGGGGATCGATTGGGTCATCAAAATAAAAATAATTTTATGCATGAAAGCCAGACCCGATCAATCAGGTAAAGAACCTGATCGATCCCTTATCCCAAGTGATCAATCTTCTGTGTAAATTATCATCACTTCTGAAAGCTTAAATATTTTTGCTTTTGAATAAAAAATGGATTGATAACTTAGAAAAATATCATTTGTAGTGTTGAAAATAACAACAATCCCTATTAGAGATTGATGGATTTTGAAAATTTATTTAGATAACTATATTGAAAATATAATTATATTTAAATATCTAAATAAAAGGAATCATCTTGTAGTTAGGGATTGATAATGAGTGATGAAGTGGTTCTTCTTAAAGGGATCAGAATTTTCTATTTCAATTTTTCTATAAACTCATTTTTGTTACAAGAGTTTATGTCTTTTATTTTCAAAACAATTTAATCAAAATAGAATGTAATAAATTTTTTCAATTTGATATTAAATCAATTATTTTTGATTAGGAAATTTTTTTTTCTGTCATTTCAAAATACATTGATTAGTTAAAGGACTTACAATAATAAAATTTACAATTATAATAATAAAAGAAATTGTAAGTATTTAATTAGTCTTAATAAATATAATGTTGCATTTATACCTTTCACATGTAAAAAGATTCTATCAAAGAAAAATATTGATATTTGTGAATATGAGAGGATTTTCATAAGCATGGTATCTTTTCATTTTTTTTTATAAAGAAGATCATAATATGAGAATAAGAGGTTATAGATGTTATTATTTGAAGAGTTATCTAAAGGTATTTTTATAAATTTTATAATTTAATTATTTTTTGAATGATTTTAAGTATGTATTATTTTTGTCAATATTTTTTACTTCATGTATCATGATATATGAAAAAAATAAACAATAAAGATGGAGATAAATTATTAATTATTTTTGGTCTCTGTGACGCTTAATTAATTTATTCACCAAATTTGGGAAATACATAACGTCGCAAATTTCAGCAGCCGCAAACACAAAGGCCAGCCGTGCACTTGTTAACGGTGCAACCATGGCAAATGCTAATGCAATCCTTGGGTTTTTGGCATTGGACTGGCTTTTGTTGCTTTATGGAGTAGTGCTCCTCTTTAAGCCCAACCACACAGCCACATACACAAAGCCCAGCCGTGCATTTGTTCACGGTGCACCCATGGCATCTCTCAACACAATCTGAGGGTTTTATGCATTGCACTGGCTTCACTTGCGCTTCAATTCCATCAGGCAAACCTACATCATTAAAGTAATTGTTTTCATCACTTACAATAAAAAAAATTTAATATAATTTTCATCTATCTAATAATTACTTAATTTATTAACTTTCATGATGATACTTTAATTAATGGGATATGCACGTATTATCCTCTAATTTATTATTCATAGAGTTTAAAATTTTCATTGGATGTATGGAATAATTTTTCTATACATAATAATATTAAAAAAAATAAAAAATTATATTATATAAATACTTCGCAAGTTAATTATCTATTTCTAAAAAATATATTTAAGTTTTGAATTTTTCATTTTCAATGGTACTTGTGAACCATAATAAGTTTACGTTTATATTATATTTAAATTTTAATTCTACTCTTTTCTTGTGTTATTGAATAGAAAATAAAGTTGGTGAAAATCATAATCATAATAATAATAATGACAAAAGATATAAGAACAATGTGAATTAAAAGAGATTGAGAGATATACAGGATCCAATAACTAGCAGGGCTACCAAGAAAGCCAGCTTGGAAATAGCAGCTCTATCCATTTTGCTTTTCGTAATATAGATGTGCTTTGTGATATGAATTGGATGCTGAACATACATAAATATATATATATATATATATATTTGTTATATATACATGGAAAGAAATCTCAATAGATAGAAGGCGTTTTATCATTTAATGAAAATTTTTTTGGTAAACTATATATGGGAATTTGGTACCATCTTTATATATGGTTAGAGGATTGCAGGTTGAATTTTATGAGGAAAAAAAAAAAATCTCCACAGGTGAATAACTATAAATGTAAAATTTTCCAACACAAGTTTTGTGATCCTTGAAATTTATTTAAAAATTATGCTTCTTAATTAATTGTTAGAAACAATAAATAAAATAATAAAAATAATAAAAAAGAACTTTGATTTTGAAGCATAAAAAATATTTTTTTAAAGACAATTATACTTTTAAGATATAATAAAACTTAGAAATTATCCAAGAAGAAATAGTAAAAATGATTAAAATAAAAATTTATTTATAATAAATGAATAAACAAAAATTTTTATTCAAATTGTTGTAACCAGTTTTACAATCATGAAATATGAACAATCATTTATTTTTATTCAAATGGTAATAACCATTTGTCATATAATAATTATTTTTATTCAAATATAATTATTCATAATATGAATAAAATTAATACAAAAATTAAGTATATTCACTGATAATTAAGTCTTTTTATCAAATGTAGAATGCATTACATTCTAAACTACTAACAATCCCTCACTAGTTTAGAATATTAGTGTTTAATCTTTAACTTTTTACATAAATAAATATTATGAGTACATGAAAGTACCTCTCAATTTAAAAATTCAGTTGTTGTATGTATCTTAGAATTTCAACGAAATTAATGGTGTTCATAAATTAAACCTTAACTCTTAGTGTTAAAATTGAAGATGTAATACACATAATGTTTATTCTTCTATCAGAAGTTTATAATTATTTTAACACTATTATGCCCATGTACTTATCATATTCATAAACATTTACAAAATATATCTAAATTCTTTTTATTGAAGCAGTAC